TGTGTGTGTGTGTGTGTGTGTGTGTGTGTGTGTGTGTGCGTGCGTGCGTGCGTGCGCGCGTGCACATGTAATATACGTATGTATGTACGTATGCGAGAGCGCGCGCGCGTGTATGTGTGTGCATTCCCGTCCGGGTACATGTACATGTATGTATATCAGCGCGGACGCTTTCGTGCGTGCGCGTACAGAGACGCGTGCAGAGACGCGTATGCACGTGTCCGATCGAATGCTTCCTTCGTGTTTTTGAGCTACGTTGTGTACGTACGAGGATACGTACGGTGAGAGCTTTCGCCGAATCATCGGCGAGTGCGCGAGTAACTCTTCTAAGACTAATCGCTGTCGAACACCTAATACCGTGGTTAAAATCATATCGTAAAATCGTAACATATTTAAAAGTTTGTCGAATCTCAAACGGAAGGGAACAGCGTCTATGAGAATAGCTCGCGTCGTTAGCCTCGTTAATGCGACACGAAACAAATAAACGAAGAAAGACAGAGTTCGAAAGTTCGGAAGAAGATAAAAAGGAAGGAAGAAAAAAAAGTCTGATGTGTTCGGATGCTCTGCTAACACTGCTAACTGAATTTCCTTGAGAAATTGACTGCAAGCTGTACCGTAAACAATTTGTGTCGTAAACAAGCTTCGTAGAGCCGAGATGGTTCGTTTTCATTTTACGAATCAACTCGACTGGGTATATAGTTTTCTTCGAAACTTTCGTTAAATATTTTTGTTGAGCGTGCAACTATTACCGTAAGAAGAATAGTCGAAGAAGAAGAAGAAGGAGGAGGAGGAGAAGGAGGAGCCGAAGGTAGAGGTCGATGAGGGAGAAGTGGACGAATGTTTTCCACCGTTTCATTCTTTCCATTCTGTCCATTCTTTCCATTCAATCGTTTCCGTCAAGCCGTCAAGTCAACCGAATTGATTTGTTGCTATTCCCCGAAATGCTCGCGAGCCATAGACACGAACTGTAGATTGTAGTTCTACGTACGATTGTGAAAAATTTCTATTTAAAAACAAAACAAGCAATACTTTTTTGCTGAATACGTCGTTTGAAATTTCTTTCCGACGTGCCTGTTTATCCGATAAAAGTTATTAACGTACTATAATCATACAGGAAGAGGTGATAGTATTTTTGTTGCCACTTGTAAATAAACTCTTAAACGAATATTCACGAATGTTTTCTCCAATTTACGCGCGCATCTTCTTAAACGTGTCCAAAGTATCAGCGAGCACTTGGAACTAGCAACTAGTAAATTGCAACCGTCTGTCGCAACGCACTTTTTACCAAGTAAACCGATCTTCTTCTCGCGATCGATTTTGTTTCACGACGATCGATCATCGACGATCGTATATTTCGAAAGCGATACGCAGTGTAAGCCGAACAGCAACGTCGCGTATCAGTGATTCGTTCGAATTCGTCGACTCGCAAAAGTAGACCGACTTTTGCAAATCTGGTTCTTTACGTATCGATTGTCCTTCTGCCCCCTCCCCCTTCATAGACATACATATATGCACTCACTCGCTCTTTCTCTCTTCCTTTCTTTTGACCTCAATTTCTCTTTTTCGTTTAATCCTCGGTGCCTTTATTCGTGTTCCTATCCCGATTTTTATAATTCATTTTAGAAACATTGCCGTTCAATTTGTCAGTTTGCAAATCGATTTGCTCCGTATCGGGTCGAAGAACGAACTCGAGAGAAAGGAACGAAGTCCCCGTTCGTCAAATTAAAAGGGTTGTCGGATTGGCCACATCCTGATTAACGAAACTCGCGATTCTGGCTTCGTTTCTACATCGTTTCATTATTTAACGATGCATCGATATTTTTGTATTTGGTTACCATCGACGCGCGTTTCGCTTATACCTTGCTTTCTCGACAAAGGCAGAAAGAAAGATAGAAAGAAAGAAAGGATAAGGAAGGGAGAACGAAGAAATTCACGACGACCTAACGCGCGAACGCGTTAATTTGTAAATTATAAACGGAGAAACGGTGTACATGTTTGTCGATAAATCCGATCGTAGATAATTGTTTTTTCATCGAATACGTCGAATGGTAAAGACGTCGATATTGTTGACCAACGCCAAAAAGAAATTCATAAAACATTCGAGGAGAGGTTTTATAAATGGAAAGGTAATAAATATCTTGTTTGTTGATAGAAACGCAGGTTTCGGTAGATTTTTGTCGACTACCATTTTTCGAGTTCATATTTAGTTATAACGTTTCAGGAGGAAAAGCATGGAGAGGAAAAAGAAGCACGGAAGGCAGAAACGGTTGGGCAGAGCGGAAAGAAGGTAAAATCTGAAAATATGTACGCGTTGAAAAGGGCTCTACGCGTGTTAGGGAAAACTGAAAGAGAAAAGGGAGAAACGTGGACGAGGAGGCCGGATAGATGGATAGAGAGAGGGTGGTTGGGTGGGAGGGAGCTAGAAGAAAAAGGAGACGAGAGAGACGACGAGAGAGAAAACGAAGAAGAAAGGGGGTGTAGCGAGCTTGCGCGACGTTCGACCCGAATCTCTCGTCGGACGTTAAGCTAGCCAGCCAGCCAGCCAAGCAAGCAACCAAGCAAGCAGCTAACCAACCAACTAGTCAGCCAAACAAGCAACCAAGCAAGCAGCTAACCAACCAACTAGCCAGACAGCCAACCAACCAGCCGTCAGCCAGTCGGTCTACCAGTCGGTCGGCCAGCCAGCCAGCCAGCCAGCTAGCCAGCCAGCCAGCCAGCTAGCCAGCCAGCCAGCCAGCCAGCCTGTCAGCCAGCCAGCTAGACGGTCGGTCCATCGTCCAGCTATCGGCAATCTTTTATCTAGGCGCTGTCCAAGCTCCGTGCTTCTCCCGTTCATGGAAGATCAGTACTCTAATCGGTATAGTACCAATTTAATCTATATTTTGTTTTCTTTCGTTACCGCGAGATCGTCCGTCACTCTTTTCATTTCGCATATGTTTCTCTCACCGTTATAATCTCCTCTTTTCGCTCCGTTTCGCAGTTCTTCGCAGCTGTTAGATTTTCGTTTCCTACCGTTACAGTCTATATTTCATCGTCTCAATTTCGTAGCGTTACTATAAATTTGGTATGTCGTTAACCCTCCTGTTGCAAAAGTTAACGTCGATCCTGCATTCGTAGTTGGATACGCGTTAAATCCATATTCTAATTGGTACTCGACTCCCTCGACGTTCGCGCTTCCGAATCCTCGTCCGAATTTGATTTCAGGATTCAAGTGCGTGCCGTACGGTATAACGTCTTAACCGGTATCGTTGTAGACGTCGTTCTCGCGTTTCGAACCGACAACTCGTATTCTTACGCTCTTACGTTCTTACACTTTTACACTTCATATAGGTATAAAAGGCTTCGCGCGTAGAGAGTAATCGTCGACGCGCACCTACCTTTGACTCGTCAAATAAAATTCATCGTAATGTTTTTCGTGTTCGTCGATGCGAAACGCGTGCATGCCACCCGGAGTTTGCTATCATGTGCCTGTACGGTGAAACGATAAATGGTTAGAGGTAACAATAATAACTGTAAACTGCTAATTACCAATTACCAACTAACTGAGAACAAGGGTGCGGACAGGTTTTCAAGGGATAGCGTCGTCGCTGCCATAAATCTGAAATATCATAATCGATTGTTTCGTGGCGGTTCACGATTCACGGCTGAAAATTAAGCAAAACGTTCGTTTTATCGTACAAGGGGAATTCGCTGTTCACGATCTTTTGAGAATGCTGTCTGCGCGAGCGCAGTATTTGGCGTACAGTTTCTCGGTGAACACGATAACCTGAGAAATGTTTTGGGGGAAAAAGGCATTCGTGTTATCGATGCGATCCGGAGCTTGAGAAAAACTGGAACCGACGTTGGATTTTTCACCCCTTGGGACTCGAACCAACAGAGAAACCGATAAAAGCCAACGAGCGTATCGTCGAATCATCGTACAAGGTGCTGTCTGTTATTTCCATATTTTCAATCGATTTAACCAGAAAGTAGAAAGTGTATCCGCGAAATGTTAACGCGTCGTTTTTTCATTTCAGACGGGTCACGAGTTACGATCGATACGGCGTCACGATCTCGAATTGTTTTCGACCAAGTCCGGAAGATCCGAAACGACATTGAAAATAGGAAGAGCAACGAAAGAGCGACGCGGTCGCAGACTGGGTTTCGACCCCTGCGAGTGCTTCGACCGCTGCGATTGCTCCGAGCGAGAAGGAAGGAAGAATATGTGCGATTTATTCGGTTCTGAATCACCGGCGAGAGGAGAGTTAACACGGATTCAACCAATTATAGCCCCGTTCTCGAGCGAACGAGCAACTTCCGGCTTGGTTAATTCACGTAAAGAGAGTAAATCATTTCTCGTTCAAGAATTCTCTTTAACGCGGTTCACGATTGCATCGTGCTTCGCGATTCGAGCACGTGCAAAAACAAAACGAAGAACTGTACAATGGAGGCAAGAACGAGTTGCTTAGGATTCGGGGAGAGGGAACGAACGACAACGATGGTGGTAGCAGCGACGGCAACGATGGTGGTGGTGGTGGTGGTGGTGGTGGTGGTGGTAGTGGTGACGGTGGTGGCAGCGGTGACGGTCGCGGCGGTGGAGGTGTGGCGGTGGAGACGAAGATGGCAGGAGATGGAATAGAATCGACACGGACGATCATGCAAATGACCATGGTTTTGTGTTTGCAGGCGGTGCGGGTGAACAACAGCGAACGATGATAACGACGGAAAACCCGCGAGCGACGTCGGATTGACAGTTCGAGGAGTTAAAAGTGGCACCCCTTGGAATGCGTGCGCCAACGGTATCGAACAGTTGGGGCTGGGGAATTTTCGCTTTCTTTCTGCTCGTCTTTGCCACCCATAGTCCTGCCGCGAGCCGCAGAGGTAAGCGATAAAATAGTATCCGCTCTTGCTTCGTCAGCGATCGATCGGAAAGAGAAATTAAAATGTATGCTCTCGGTCTTCCAGCGGATCGCGATCACTGCAACAAGACCGTAGAAATATACGATGACGTATCGAGTCCAGCTGTAACCGCAGCGAATTGGGGAAAGCCTTTGTTTTGCTCGTATCGTTTCCGCGCGTATCGCTCGACACCGCGGGACTTGATTTTACGTGTTCGCTTCAAAAAGTTCAAAGTTGGCGTGCTCGAGAACGCCACCACTTGTTCCGGGGGTTACTTGCAGGTAGGTAAACGCTACAGGTTTACGAGACGACGACGACGACGACGACGACGACGCATTCCTGTTTATATATATATATGTATAAAAGTATTCGCGCATCTTTTGAAACGCGAAAACTTTCTTAAAACTGCATCGAATGACTTGAATTTTTTTTTAGATGACAGAGGGACCAGAGTATACCAGGCAACGACTAAAATGCTTTCTTTAAATTTTGCTATTACTTGGAATGACGAAAAAAAAATAAAAAATAAAAAAGTCTCTCGATGTCTAACCTTTTAATTCGAGTCTATGATAAAAATTTAAAAAATGGCTTTCGTAGATCTTGATAATTTACGAGGATAACTTATGCCGAAAGCACAATCGAAATCGGTCGACGTTGTGTACGAGAAGTTAAAGATGGCAAAAATCGTAGTTTTGTCACACACGATTTTGACTCTGGAAAGACATATTTAAAATTTTCGTTTAGTTATCACGTGTGAAAAGGTGTGCGAATGCTTCGCTCGTCCATTGTATATGTATATATCGATAAGTCTTCTTCTTCTTCTTCTCCTTCTTCTTCTTCTTATTATTATTATTATTATTATTATTATTATTGTTATTGTTACAACAGATCGTCGATGGGAACGCGAAGACGGAGGTGAGCAACCGAAAAGACCCCGGAGTCTATTGCGGTGAATCGGAACAACAGCAGACCTTCATTTCCGAGACAAATTTCGTTCGAGTGTTCTTTCACGCGGACAACTTCACCGATCAAACCTACTTCAGTTTCGATACTCGAGCGGAGCAACAGTTCGAAGTGTACAAGCGATATGGGCAACATCCGGAATTGTATCCGAATCGCAGGGGCGAGATCGTTCCGGGGAGTTACTGCGAGCGGGTCTTCAAAGACTGTCGGCTGCAAACGTGCTACGTGCAGAGCCCGGCCTATCCGGGCATTTATCCGCGCGCGTTGCACTGCAAGTACCGAATGAACACGCGGGTACCGTTCATAAAGCTTTACATCGAGAACGAGGAGTTCAACATCGACGGGCAGAGATGCGAGAACATCATGACTTGCCCGATGAGACCGATAAGTTCCGGATCGGAGCACTGCCCGTACGATTACATACGCGTCTACGACGGCAAAGACGAGAGCAGCCCGGTGATCGGCACTTTCTGCGGCATGGGAAAATTTCCGTACAGCATAATCGGCACCAGCGAAGACTTGTACGTCGAGTTCGTCTCGTCGCCGGCCGGGCCGCTTCTGAACACCGGATTCCACTTCAACGTGGACCACTGGCCGGGCCACGTGGAAACGGCCGGCGTTCGGAACGGTAGCTGCGACTGGCTGCTGAACAGCGAATCCCTGCTGACCGGCAACGAAGGAATATTTCTCTCGGTGGCTCACTGGTATCCGCCCCACACCAGCTGCACCTATCTGCTCAAGGGTCGGATCGGCGAGATCGCTAGACTCTACTTTCCCAGTTTCCGCGTGAATCGCATCGAGTCGCCGATACAATCTTACGAAGGCGATTGCGGCGAGAGCCTGACTCTCTACGACGCGGACTGGCCGGACGACGCGAAGATCATCAAAACGTTTTGCGACACGTTCAGCAAGCCGATGGAGAAACACGACTTCGTGTCGAGCTCGAACGCTCTGTTCGTGAAATTCGAGAGCAAAACGGGCAGCTATTCCGGCAGCTCTCTCTACTATTGGGCGCACTACGATTTCTTCAACGCGACGAGGTTCGGCGAGCCCGTTCCCGGAACGGAGTGCGACGAGATTTTCGCCTCCTGGAAAACGCGTTCCGGTCGACTGCGGTCCCCGCTGAACACTCTGGTCTACAAACGGCCGGGCGATCCGCCCGCCGATCTCTCCTGCGTTTATACCTTCCTCACGGACAAACGGCTGTACGCCCGCGTCATTCTCACCGTAGAGTCGGTCTCCTTCAAAGAACATCCGTACGCGCAATGCGGGCATTGTTGGGACAGTCGCGTCGACAAATTGATCATCAAAGAACCGACAGTCGCGGTTCCCGGCGAGCAACCATTTTACCAAAATCACCAGCAACAGTCTCAACAGTCGCGTCAGTCGCAACAGTACCAGCACCAGCAGCATCAACAACAACAATCGCAGTACCAACTGCAGCAGCAGCAACCGCAACCGCAACAGCAACAGCAGCAGCAGCAACAACAGCAACAACAACAACCGCAACAGCAGTCGCAATATCAGTATCAGTATCAGTATCAGCATCAGCATCAGCAATCGCAACAACAAGATCTTGGCGCCGACAAGGGCGGTCACTGCATCTGTCGATCGGGACCGGGCGTCGACGGAAAACCGGTGGCGCGCGTAATCTCGCGAGGAGAGAAGCTCGAGTTAAAATTATTGGTGGACGGAACGCATTCCGCGGCTAGTTATTTCAAGCATCACTTGCCGCTGTTCGAGGCGAAATACGAGTTTGCTCATAGCCCGTTGTGCGGACCCGCGGTTCTCGAAGCCACCACCAACGGCGAGGTCGAATTTCCGCATTACGAAGCGCTCGGATACGTCGCACCTCCTCGTTCCATCAAATGTATTTGGGAACTTCGCGTGAATCGGGATCGAGACGTGTGGCTGCACTTCGATAAAATTAAATTTGCCTCGAGGTCCTGCGAAGACGGGAAGCTCGAAATCTTTTTGCCCGGTGACCCGGATCCGTTTCTCGGGATATGCGGCGAGAACATTAGCTCTGCCCTGAACACGCCGATCATTTCGGAGGCACAGATTTCTCCGACACGAGTTCGAACGTCCGGCGAACGCGGTTCCGGGCCGAGCTCCGGTACCGGTACCGGACCCGGATCCGGATCGGGATCCGGATCCAGCTACGGTTACGGTTACAGTTACGGTTACGGTTACAATTACGAGAATCAGCAAACACCGTCGCAGACTCAAACGCAACAGCCGATAGGTGCGTCGCCCGAAAAGACGTCCTTGACTCCGAACGAGGAATCGGAATGGCCTTTCGTGATCATCCAGTTCACCGGTTCGATGGCCCCGGCGAGAGCCGCTTTCAAGATCGCCTGGACGGAGCTGTATCATTTGCCCCGCGACAACTCGGGAGCTTTGAACACGCAGAAGCTGGAAGAGGTGTGCGGGTTTCGGTGTCCTGGCGACGTCGGCTGCATACCTACGAGATTGGTCTGCAACGGAGTGGTCAACTGCCCGTCGCCGGAACCCAGGTCCGGCTTTCGAAAGACGAACAACGGTACCGGTTTATTGGCGATAGCGGAGGAACCGAACGACGAATCGAGCGAAACTTGCGGAGCCGACGTGCTCGGTGCTCGCGGGAACAAGGCTAGATCCGGTAACGGTGTCGGCGGTCTCGCCAGCGTCGTCGGTTCCGCCGGATGGGCCGGCGCCGGTCTGGGCGCTGCTCTCGCGGTGCTACTCGGTCTCGTATGTTTGATCACCGTTTGCAAGATTTGCAGGCGTCGCTCCACACCGAGAAACATTCACGTACCCTATTGACGGAAACCCGGACGCCAACTACTCGGTCGCGGTTGCGGTTTCGATCGCGATCTCCGAAATTTTTCGCTCTTCGTTCACCGAGTCCGAATCCACCGGTCGGCCGATAACGCCGCATCTCGAAACGGACATGCCGTCGATACGTCGATAACCGACGCTCCTTTATTCGCCTCTGTTTGCGCGATTATTCGCGTCACCGAACCGAGCGTAAATCTTTCAGAGAAACTTTGTCGCTTCGCTCGTTTCGCTCGTCCGATCGATCGAGAAAGAGGAAAAGAGGAGCAAGGCGAACCCGATCGACCGATCGCATAGATACATCGGTAGACAAACGACTATACGTAGAGATACAAGCACCGTAGCCGTAGCGTGGAAAACGACCGGTCGAAGCTGATTAAACGAAGGACGCGTTAATTCGGTAGATCGTAGAGGTGCGCCGACAAGCTTGAAAGCACACCAACGGGAAAACGCGTCAGCGATCGTCGAGATCGGAATCGGGATCGTGGTAGAGAGTCGGAATCCGAATCGGTATCGAAATCTCGCTACACGTATGTACAATCTATTCGCGTTACGTTACCAACAAGAGTGCCTGCGAATGTTCGCACGCGCGCGGTCTCTAATTCACGCGCGTGCGTTATTCTTTGAGAATATGCCGAACAAACTTGTATATATCGAGAATAATAGGACGCGCATCGATTATTTTTAGCGGAAAACTACGAGCCCCTAAGGAGCATTTATCTAGCCACGCGAATCGTTTGTTGCGACACGTGGCTGCGAAAAGCCGTCTTCTTTTGTGTGTGTGTGTGTGTGTATATAGTTTCCTAATTGAAAATTCACAACGGATATCTTAGCGAATCGACAGCGATAGATCGCTCACGCGATCACGGGCAGAAGCTCGTGTAACGCGCACATATTCCACACCATGCTCATCTGCAATCTACGTTTACGTTTACGCTTGTACGCGTCGAACGAGATCGTTCGCGTTTCGTTGTCGTTATCGTTATCGTTATCGTTATCGTTATCGTTCCATTAAAGCCGACACACACTCGCTGGCCACTTTTGACCACTTTTGAGTCGCAGAAATCAATATTTTACTCATTTTCATAATTTCCGCGTTGAAATCAACCACTTACGGGTCACAATCGATGTATCGATCAAAGTGTTTTCAAAGTGATCTCTGTGTTTGCGAGCGTACATGTTATCTCTTACCGTTACCGTTACCATTGCCGTTACCATTGCCATTACCATTACCATGGTTATCGTTATTGTTACCGTTACAATGACAGCTACAGTTACAGTTAGTTACACAGTTGTAGTTATCGTTATAATTATCGTTTCGTATCATTTGACAGAATCTGCAGCGTCAACGGTCAACGTTACGAATCAATTTTGTCGCGCATCCGCGTATCACGGTTACGTTATCGTCTGCTTTTTTACCGTTTTGTACCGTCGACGTGTTACGCGTTCGACGCACCGAAGCTGCGCGAGCGACGTTGGTGTCGGTCTCGACGTTCGCACGTTCGTACCGTTGCACTCGTTGTCGTCGATATCGTCGACTCTTTAGCATGTACGTACAATAATTACATGGTATCGTTGCAATCGTGTGAAACGTCGTCGTTATACCATATTGCTGTTACCTGTTGGTAACAGGCTGCTACCAACGTTCTCGTAATCGTCGGCCAGTATCACAGTAGCTACTACAGTCGCGAACATAACTGCTACTGCCAGCAGCGTCGTCGTTACATTATTATATTTTTTACAAATAAAAAGATATCCTCGTCAACGAGGTAAAACAGACGGATACTCGATCTTCTTTGTCGTCGATAATTTTCTTTTTCTCGACGAGACGAAACGCGCATGTTCGCGTATACGTACGTATACGAGAAGATCCGCCAGGTTCACTGACAACGAGTCAAATTATCTCGGCTATGCAACAGTTTGCGCAGCCAGAAGTTTTCCACGAACTTCGACGACACGATTTTGTTTACGCGCACAAATTACACCGAATCTCTTTCTCCGTACCGCCATAATATCTTGCATACCTTCCAACCTTTTATCACGTTTCGCCCGCCGACATCCAAATCGTCGAGTTCCTAGCGACACTGACAAGAAAAAAAGAGGAAAGCGAAGGAAAGAAATACGATAATATTACAGATTATGAAATGGCGATTGAAAATGTAACGAGGTACGATCGCGTCTACAGAGGCCACGAATCCAAAATATCGATACGATCGCCGACATCCGTTGTCGGACTAATTACCGACAATGTTCTGGTGCCGATAACCAAGACCGTTCGCGTCGCGAGAAGTTCGCGCGTTCTTTCGAGCTTCCACGAACGGAGAGTAAAAGCGATTCGATCGCGGCAACGCGACAACGATGCGACCACACCGCTTTTGACGCAACCCCCTCGACATCCGTGCACGGTAAAACTTAATCGAAATCAAATTCATCGTCGACGATAAGGGTTGATCTCGATAAACCAACGACACACGTTTTCAGAACTTTTCAAACCGATTCCGCGATCGGGAGAAGAAACTGGTCTCGAACGCCCACCGGAGCTCGACGTTACTCCCATTTAACGATACAGCCGCCTCGAGGCGATCGCGAGACAACGACGAAACAAAAGTACTGCAGTTTCCTTCTCCGATGTTAGGTTTACCTCGCGTCCCATTCTCGAAGACGAATTCCGTTTCCAAGTATCTTCCGTTACGAAAAACTCGCAAACGCCGAATCAAGCTCGACCAACGTAAGATCCAAGATTTCCAGACGGGAGCAAACGAAAAGCAAACGGAAACGCGGCGCTTGTTAACCGATCTACAGAGAATAGATTGGTTATCGAACGATGCGTTAACAACGATATTCGATAAAGCTGTGCGACTATTTAAAACCGATACCTTTGGTATACCTATTGCGTTCACCGTTCCATCGATGCCTGCCTGCACAGCCGAAACGACAACAACCGCAACAACGGCGACGATGACCGAAGCCGTGGCGACGACAGGAATAACGACGGGCAAATCTCTCGAACGTTGCGACCAATTGCTAAACGTTGTAACAGGTCCCTCGGGAAACGTGTATCCTTGTAAAATCAAGTATTCGTGGCAGGTAATTGGCAAAAGTACTCAAACGTCGAGAACGCTTCTAGAAAGTTTAGTACAGGAAACTTTTGCCGACGATACATCGGCCTATACATGTTCTATTAAATACTCCTGGCAGATCATCGGTATCGGTACTCAAACTTCGAAAGAGGATTTCGAAACACCGGAACCTCGCTTTCTTGTTTCACGTTCGTCCACTGGAACGGGCGCGAAACGAATCGTTGACAAAGCATCGAACAAACCGCTTACTACCACGGAACCACCTCGACGAAATTCGAACAAATCATTTCTATCGACCACTCAAGGTACGCAAACGTGTGCCCACAAAGAAATTCAAACCAATGTCATCGAGTTTTATATCGAACAACTGTAAGCGGACTCGCCCGTTCTTTTCTATAGACAGGAGATCCAAAAAAAAAAAGAATGACAACACAATCGTTTTGCATTGGACTCTGACGACAACGACGACATTGACATTGACATTGACATTGACATTGACATTGACATCGACATTACCATTATCATTGCCGTTACCATTACCATTACCATTACCATTACCATTACCATTACCGAATCAACTTGCGAGCGTACTTTACGGTAGAATGTAGACTCATTACAAGAATTTTCTACTCGTCCAGATCCATTTTTAATTTACGTTCGTCTCTCAGAGATATATACAGATTTCTAAAACGAAAAACGTCCGTTGATTCCAGAGTAAAACTTAAAAGGACGACAGCCAGTCTTTCGAACAAGCAAGGTACGCTTCTCTTTCTCTATCGTGTCAGGAATCGTTTATTTTCATTCACATATGAATCTCTCGAGCAACGAGTTCGGACTCGTTGAGCACGTGTCGAATTACGTTACGAGCAACGCGCCTTCCCAACAAATGTACGGCTTTGAGAAACCGCACGGTGAAACAAAAAATTTCCAGTAATTGCGCGAATTTAAGGCGCGACACGAACTTTCCAAATAAGTTCGGTTCGATAGCGTAGACGTCGATGGACCGCTGATCGTCGAGATCATCTTATTTTAATTGGCATAGGTTATCCGGAACATCCTCGACAACCGCAATGAATACACTCCACTATTCTACCTTCTTCCAGTTTTCCTTTTGGAACTCGACAAATACAATTTGTTCCAAAATTAGTGTCTCTAGTTTGTATGCAACGTAAACAACACAAATTTTCGTAACCCACTTTCTTCCATTTTGCTATCAAATTCTTGTCAGCTATGTTCTCGTTCAAACAGTAGTCGTACAGTTCTGAAAAACAAGGAAGGAAATAAACTTGTCGCGATCGTTGCTACCGCGGTTAAATTTGTAAAAATCAAGTTTCCATGTCCGAAAATCATTTACAAATGCTCCTTACCACGGCTTATAGCTTTTCGTCTGTAGTACAAATCGTATATGTACCGTGACTTCTGATGATGAATTTTAAAAATTGGCCACAAAGATTCTTGTTTACGTTTGCCTTCGTGAGGTTCCGTTTCGGCTGCAATCGAATCAACGAATAAACAAATAATAACGTACAATAGTTACGAATGCGAACAAAAAGAAGAAATAATAATATTCTATCGCAAACATAACCTATACAGAGAGTATTGTGGTTACCTTCTCGCATTTTTTGCTCCAGTTCCTCCAACGTTGGCTCGATCAATTCCCAACCGTCCGGTGGAGGTTTCTTGCTTCTTCGTACTTTTGGCATCTTGCAACTTTGATCCAAACGTTTCTTTGCAAAGGAAACAACTATGTACGTATCTTAACAACCGAGACCGAGAGCTATCGCCGTCACTTTCGTTTTCATCGTCGGTATTTGTTGTAAATCCGCGATGCGATGGACGCCTACGCGTATAGTAGATACTAGCTGGATTCTCCTTGGTCACGTATCCCAAATATATATATATATATATGTACGTGCATACGATTCATCCGCATCCATTTATTGTAAGTTACACCGATAATGAATTACACTGTGCAATAGGATTAGAAAAAATTAGGGGAATTCATAGAGTCGATTTTGGCTAATAGTTTGATCGTTTCGCCACCGCTGCTTCGATCGGCGCTGTACGGACATCGTACGGAGCTTCGTTCTTTCTACTAAAGAGGCGCCACAATTGTACGCATGCGCAGAATGCAGGCTCGCCTAGTAAAATTAATTATGGTAAAATTAGGACACGAAAAAGTAAACCAAGGGTGCGGAACTGTTCAGGAGAATGTCCTGTATCGGTAAGAAAACCAAACGACAACAACACAAAATATAATTAGTTAACATAATAGTTCACCAAAATTCAAAGAGCAATTAATTACGTTCCTCGATGTTGCTATTCGCGATGTTCTTAAATGTCGTTTATTTACGTCGCAAGCTGTAATAGAGTCTAAGACGTTGGACAATTCTACCATTTCTACCAGAGACAGAGCGTACTTGTCGTCGAGGTTGCTCAAAATGGTGGTAATCTTATGTGCCTACGAGAACGCTCGATCATATTTCAAATTTGAACGAATGCCGTGGCTAATCGCTATCCGTTGTTTTTGTAGGATCGGTGAACGTTCGAACTGATCGTGCATCCGACCGCAATCCTTCGATAGCTTTTGGACTTTTGGATCGTGCAGAAATCTGATTTCGAAATATCGTTCGCTTCAACTTCCTTTCGCTCTATGAATACAAAATTCAAACTTCTGCCGTAGATTGCTGCGAAAAGACAATGAGCGAGCCAAGTTCGAGGTCTAGGTTGCGAGGTCGAGAATGAGGTCACAAATGGAAAAAGTTGATCAGTTTGAATCGGTGCTGTCCGCAATCGGTTGCAACGAGCACGTCGTAATACAGCTGGTACTCCCTTCATCCACGATTCTTTCGGTTCGAACGTCTCCGAGTCGACGCAAAGGAATTCACCTTGCGTGTCATCGTTTGGCTCGTCCATCGCAGAAATCCTCGTCTCTCCTGTCGCCCCTGTCGACGCGCAATGACTGGTATGTAAGGTCGATACCCTGTATTCGTCCAAGTACATGCCTCAACCGGCGACAATACTTTATCGCAGAAACGAGGGAACACGATAGAAAATAGAATAGAATAGAATAGAATGGATTGGAGGAAAAGAAAAGAGAAGAGGAAAAAACGCAGCGTAACAAACCTTTTTGATCAACGGATAAAATAGACACGGGAGCATCCGAATCTCTCGTTTGCGAGGCTGACCGTGGCAACTTCTGCAAATGTTCCATCCGGAATGGTTCGATTCGTTGACAATGCGAACCACTCGCAATATATTTATTTACTTGTTTCTTCAATTATTTATTTATTTATTTATTTCAACATGTTAACGGAATGAACCCTTTGTGTTACATATTTAGGACAGAAAAGGACGACTATCGAACAGAGGAGAAAGAAAAGGTGGACAAATGGTAACAGGAGAAACTCGCTGTAACAGAGAACGACGGAATACAGGAATCGATGACTAAAGTTAAAAAAAAAAGAATCAAATTCTCTTAATTCGATAAGATATTATAGGTAACGTAATAATTATTAAAAATAATTAGCGATTGCCAATACATACGGTTGGTCGATACAATCGTTAGTATCGTGGTAGAGGTAGAGGGAGAGAGAGAGAGAGAGAGAGAGAGAGAGNTATCGCCGTCACTTTCGTTTTCATCGTCGGTATTTGTTGTAAATCCGCGATGCGATGGACGCCTACGCGTATAGTAGATACTAGCTGGATTCTCCTTGGTCACGTATCCCAAATATATATATATATATATGTACGTGCATACGATTCATCCGCATCCATTTATTGTAAGTTACACCGATAATGAATTACACTGTGCAATAGGATTAGAAAAAATTAGGGGAATTCATAGAGTCGATTTTGGCTAATAGTTTGATCGTTTCGCCACCGCTGCTTCGATCGGCGCTGTACGGACATCGTACGGAGCTTCGTTCTTTCTACTAAAGAGGCGCCACAATTGTACGCATGCGCAGAATGCAGGCTCGCCTAGTAAAATTAATTATGGTAAAATTAGGACACGAAAAAGTAAACCAAGGGTGCGGAACTGTTCAGGAGAATGTCCTGTATCGGTAAGAAAACCAAACGACAACAACACAAAATATAATTAGTTAACATAATAGTTCACCAAAATTCAAAGAGCAATTAATTACGTTCCTCGATGTTGCTATTCGCGATGTTCTTAAATGTCGTTTATTTACGTCGCAAGCTGTAATAGAGTCTAAGACGTTGGACAATTCTACCATTTCTACCAGAGACAGAGCGTACTTGTCGTCGAGGTTGCTCAAAATGGTGGTAATCTTATGTGCCTACGAGAACGCTCGATCATATTTCAAATTTGAACGAATGCCGTGGCTAATCGCTATCCGTTGTTTTTGTAGGATCGGTGAACGTTCGAACTGATCGTGCATCCGACCGCAATCCTTCGATAGCTTTTGGACTTTTGGATCGTGCAGAAATCTGATTTCGAAATATCGTTCGCTTCAACTTCCTTTCGCTCTATGAATACAAAATTCAAACTTCTGCCGTAGATTGCTGCGAAAAGACAATGAGCGAGCCAAGTTCGAGGTCTAGGTTGCGAGGTCGAGAATGAGGTCACAAATGGAAAAAGTTGATCAGTTTGAATCGGTGCTGTCCGCAATCGGTTGCAACGAGCACGTCGTAATACAGCTGGTACTCCCTTCATCCACGATTCTTTCGGTTCGAACGTCTCCGAGTCGACGCAAAGGAATTCACCTTGCGTGTCATCGTTTGGCTCGTCCATCGCAGAAATCCTCGTCTCTCCTGTCGCCCCTGTCGACGCGCAATGACTGGTATGTAAGGTCGATACCCTGTATTCGTCCAAGTACATGCCTCAACCGGCGACAATACTTTATCGCAGAAACGAGGGAACACGATAGAAAATAGAATAGAATAGAATAGAATGGATTGGAGGAAAAGAAAAGAGAAGAGGAAAAAACGCAGCGTAACAAACCTTTTTGATCAACGGATAAAATAGACACGGGAGCATCCGAATCTCTCGTTTGCGAGGCTGACCGTGGCAACTTCTGCAAATGTTCCATCCGGAATGGTTCGATTCGTTGACAATGCGAACCACTCGCAATATATTTATTTACTTGTTTCTTCAATTATTTATTTATTTATTTATTTCAACATGTTAACGGAATGAACCCTTTGTGTTACATATTTAGGACAGAAAAGGACGACTATCGAACAGAGGAGAAAGAAAAGGTGGACAAATGGTAACAGGAGAAACTCGCTGTAACAGAGAACGACGGAATACAGGAATCGATGACTAAAGTTAAAAAAAAAAGAATCAAATTCTCTTAATTCGATAAGATATTATAGGTAACGTAATAATTATTAAAAATAATTAGCGATTGCCAATACATACGGTTGGTCGATACAATCGTTAGTATCGTGGTAGAGGTAGAGGGAGAGAGAGAGAGAGAGAGAGAGAGAGAGAGAGAGAGAGAGAGAGAGAGAGATGCAACGAACTCGTTTATCTTTATAAACTCGACGAAACGCTATCAAATAGGCTAGGAAAATAAACAGAATCGCACATCGGCAGAGTAGAACAGGCATCTCGGAGAAGCGTGCATACTCGAATTCGATTTCGATCGAATTTTAATCGAACGTTGGAACGTTGTTGCGCGACAGTTGTTCCTGGTCGGTTACCTTATCGATCTCTTTTCGACCAACATCGATATCATCGTTGTTGCCGTTGTCTCTCGGAATTCTCTCCGTGGCGGATTTCTTGCGCTTTTCGCGGAATATCGCGCAAGCCGAAAGATTTTCACGATGCAAACTGATCAACTGTACCAAGCGAAGTTTAGCAAGATCCATTTGTGTCGCCATACCGTCGTACCCCGAATCGAGTCTGTCCAATTCGCTGCTAATGTTATTTAGCATTTCCAACAAAAGTCCATCTCTTTTGCGCAGTTCGAGATCGTATCTGTTCGAAGTTGATAACGTGATCGCGATCAATCCAACGGTCGCAACGATCGTAAGCCCCAGGAGACTCTTCCGCGACAACGTCATCGTGTTTAAAAGATTTGGAAAATTTGTCATCGGAGATCGTTGCGATCGGTCTCGACGTTCCCATTTCACGACTCGAATCTTGGTCTCGAGCGTCTCGAGCTGCGTGGACCGCAAACGTCTTCTTCTCGTTCGTTGCCTCCGCGACGTGGCCGCACGATCGATAATTCTCTCGTTTCGCGTTTCGCTCGTTCCACGCTCGGGACTATCTATGCGCATACACGCGCACACGTATATTGGCTGTTGCACGAATCGTTGTACCAACCATCGAACCTTTATCGACTCGTAGTTTTTCGCCTCGCAGTTCGGGACAACTCGGACCCTTCGAAGCGGACGTTTCGGAAAAGCAGTCGCGTCAACGGGAAACTACAATGTACATATTTACATACGTAATACGCACGAACGCGCGTTGCATTCTCGTTTCACGTCTCGCGACGCGCGTTTGACACTCGATCCACTCGATATTCGTCGCATGGTTACCGATGCTCTGCTCTCTGGACTCGGGCTCGTTCTTTTCCCGGCTCGAACGCCCACGTTTTTTATCTATTATTAAATACGCGACGTCGGGTGCAAGACAACAAACTGTCGCGAGTCGTGACGCGCGGTCTACTACAGTTCGCGCGAGAACGGTCATCTTTCCTTCGTTCCTTGCCTAAAATATACATATATTATATGTATATACGATAGACGCGGATGCGAGTTATAGGTGCGGATGCACGAGGAAAGGGCAAGGAAAACGGAAAGCGAAAGAACAGGATAGAGATGATGGGAAACGAGATGCGCGAAATGGGAATCGTATATTTCAGAGCACACTCGCGTATCAATATCAATGTACATACAACGATAACGCTTAAGATACGTACGTATGCTTCGTGTACACTGTACCACGCGCATACATAGTATGCTGTACACTGTACACCGTAGACCGTACACCGCGTACGATCGATTACGGCGAGATCGAATACGATTTTTCTTCGTTTCGTTAAAAGTTTCAGCCATAAACGTTGCGCTTTCGAATCACTTTCTACAATTTCTACATCGTGTTCAGGCAATCGTAATCGCGTCGAATATCCGAAACATCGTGTTCGCTCGGTCGCGAGAACGAAAAGAGACGAGACGAGGCAAGGCGTCGTCCGTTTCGTAGACCGTACACGTATGTACGTACGTACAACGTACGTACGCAGGTACAACTATGATCCAAGATCCGGTTCGCGCTTCAATGTTTATTCTTCGTTGATCGCTCGGTGATCGAGCGATCGCGCGCTATTTACAATTCGCTAACTACACGCGTACGTAGTTTCGCGTCGGCCAAAGAAATCGAAGGAAGCGCGACGCAGCTCGCCATCGCGATAAAAAACACAAACGATCGATACACGTTCTATGTCCAACAGCAGACACAAATCGGAATGTGCAAAGTACCGATCGGAAGAGACGATCGATCGATTCGTACGCTTCGAAAAGAAACAAATTTCAGCCAATACGTAAAAAATAGAAGGATCGGATACTCGAGGAAGCAATCGTGGTCGTTGCAACGCGAGACGAGACAAAACGCGAACAGAATAGAAAGCTCGTCGGAAAAAGCGAAGACGAAAATAAACCTCTGCCACGACTTCGAATCGGCCGCGCAACTTTTCGCTCGAAGATCGCTCGAGGAGATCGTGTCGGAGCATCGACGAAGAGGAGCCTCCCAGACGTTGTCCTTCCACGAAGCTAAAAGCAAAGCGTAATCGCCGTTCCAATCGAGATTGATTCTCGCCTCGAACGCTGGCATCGCGGAAGCCTCCGAGAAGACGGCGGCGTATCTCGGCGGCAGACAATTTTTCGACCAAGAAACGCCGGTCGCCGAGGGGCGTTTCATTTGGAAAATTCGAAAAATCCGAAAAATCCGAAAATAGAGATTCGAGCGCTTGCCCGATTCTCCGGACGGTCCGGCAAAGTCCTTGAAACGAAAGGTTCCGCGACCGAGGAACGAGCTCGAATTTGGCCGACGATCTCGCGTTCCTTGGCCGAGTCTCTCTCTCTCTCGCCTGCCGGGACTCCGGCGTTTCTCGCCCCATTCCTCTAGCCCGCGTCGCGACCGTTCGCGTCGCGCGTAAGGCCCGGTACCGCCGGTACTGCCGGTTGCCACGACCGTACACGATGGAATCGAACACGCGTGATCGGTGTAATACGTCCAACGCGCCGTCCAACGACCTCCGCCCGAATAAATTCGAAAAACTCTTCTAGCCCAGAACCCTTCGTCGACGCTCTCGCACTTGACGCTCAGCCAGAGACCGCCGATCTGCGCCGGGAGCGTCGGAGCTTGATGAAACAACGGTGGACTGTACTGCGTGGCGCGCAACACGTTCCCACAAATTGGACAGAGAGCGAGCTGAAACATACGGAGACGAACACGGTTCGAGCGTCAGAGGGTCGGACGATCGGACGATCGCGATTACCGTATCGGCGCGTAGCAACGCCATGGACTGCAACCGGTTCGGTGTCCGCGCGCCAGACGCTTCCCAGAGTCTCGCGCTTCGAGGAGACGTCTCGCCGAGCAGCAGTTCCACTCCCGATGCTCTCTTCTCGACTCGTACCAGTCTCAGTTCCGCGAATTCGATGCCCAACCTTTCCAAACAATCCAACGTGTCCCGATTCTTCGGAATCCGCAAACGACTTTCGAACGAATTCGACTTTAGTTCGCGGGCATCGACGTTCGCGTCCGACGAACCGTCCTCGTAAATCGACCGTTCGTAGATCGGCTCGGCCCGGTAAGGGCGCCACTTGGTTCCCACGGTGTCGTCGCTGCCGCAAATCGCATTTATTCTGCGCCGAAATCGACGCGCAACCTTGTTCATCGAGAAGCGGATTCGATCAATACCTATCGGCTAGAGAATTCCGTGGACGCGTAGTTACGCGAGCGTCGAGTCTACTACCTGTCCGTTGAATGGTATCAAATGAACCGAGTCCAACCGAGCGTTCGCTTCGGTCGCACCGGAGATCCGGACGGAGAGTGACGTGATCTCGATGGAACCACGAGCTACGACGGCGTACGTAGCGATGCTGCACGACTCGTCCGCGTAATGGTATCGTATCAGAACGAACGTTCCGTTCGCGAAGAAACTGTATTTTCTTATCGTATTCGCCTGCTCGGGCCCGGCGCGCGTTTCGCACCTAAAAAAGAAAAACAATTTCGAACGAAGCGAGTCGCGAGATTGCTTGCGATCGGCCGCTTCGAAATCGAACGCCACTCACTGTTGCGACAACCAAATCGAATGCAACTTGAACGGCGAATCGTCCGTAGTCGTGCCTCTGTCTTCGGAAGCAACCTTTTCCATGATCGTGTCGCATCGATGATCCTCCTTCAGCGATATTGGAAAACCACTCTGACCGAAATCTGCGCAAAAAATAAGCTCTGCTTGCTCTGTACTCTACGCTCTATACTCCATACTCTATACTTACCGAGAAGGTGGCACAGAGAATACCTACCTGCTGTACGCGGACTACGTATACCTAAGAGTATAGCATCCCACTGTCGAAATCTGTGCAATCTTCTCGCGGACGCTCTATACGCGTGTAAGCACGTACACGCGTATAATAGCATCGAATCCACGGCTTCTACGCGATTCGATCGATTTGCCAAATATCGCGAGTTCCATCGGCCAAACGCTTTTTAGTTCGCTTACCCGCAAATAGACAAAGCGTAATGCCGACAAACAACAGGAGCATGTTTTCTTCTTTCCGGAAACTCGAAGCTCGAACCTCGAAATTCAAAATTATACACTGTTTTCTGTACAATGGACAGGTCGAAGGCGAATCGCTTCTCTCTTCGAGAAGGAATATTATTTTCCCCGACAGACTCGACTCGCGTCGAAGCCACCCCAACGCGGTATTTATCCGTATCCCTTATCCCTTCCCGACTTTCTCACCACGAATCGGACAATGGTGGACGTGACGCGTGACCACGCGTTTAGCATGCACGATCCGCGATCCATTACTCGCTTTGCATATCTCTCTTCCCTCGTCCGGTAGCTACCGAGATCGTTCGAGTCGTCTGTTCGCCGACTCTCAACTTCGTTTTCGTACCGAATTGTTCGACGTACCCTTGCTCGTTCTTACAACATGCTCCATGCGTTTCCTCGCGTCGCGTCGCGCACCAAGCGCCCTGTCCCTCGCGGACTTTTCTTTCCTACCTCTCGTTTCAGGTTGCAAGTACGAACACGTTACGTACGGCGTACATACGCATAGTTCGCCAGTTTCGATGATACACGCGTGCGCGTATACGTATAGATCATCGGCTCGATCGTCGAACCCTCGCACGTGCGAACACGATCGATCGGTGAGTCAGAATGGTACGAGTCGGGAACGGTCGGAAATGAAAACGACTCTGGCACACAGGACTTCCGAGACTCGGTACTCGAAGGGTTAACGGTATCGACGCGTGTTACGACACAGACAAAACAAAAAACTAGATCAGATATTGTCTCTGATAACAGTCGATTTTCTGTTATCGATTCTTTTTAACAGAATCGCCCATCCCTAGACCCGGTTGTACGTACATACCGTATACCGCTCTGCAATTGCGGATTGCGACGGAAACCGACGCTGGACGCGGACAACTCGGGGCGAAGGTACCGTCGATGCCCTATCGTAGGCCGTCTACCGGGTGAACGTTCTAATTCGAAACTATGACGGCGACGCGACACAGGCCTGCGGATGATTTCAAAATGTTCGCTCGGTGGACGCCCTGCGCGTTCGAGTCCCTTTGAATCTCGAATTTAAAGTCCGCGGTTTGTACAGCGCCAATCGGAGCAGTGGCAACATGCTCGAACTATTAGCCAAAATCAACCGTTGATCATTGATTCTGTACCAGTTTCAGCGTTTTGCCACTACCCAAATTGGCGCTGTACGGACGCTGTACGGATAACTTGGACTGGAAACCATAAACCAGAAGAACGGAGATTCGAGAAAAAATGATACGGGAGTGCTGAAATATTTAACTTCGTATGCAATTGCAAGCTATACGTTGTTCGTCTATCGCTGGAAGAATCGATCGTCGTTGAGCAGAAACAACGAAACGGCATAATAAGCGTGAAAGCGATGTCAACGTTGGAAGAACAAATAGTGGTTATACGCGAAGCTGATTTCGGTTTTCCTCGAACCGGATAACAACACGTGCGCTACGAAAACCATTTTTAAACGCGTTCGAAATGGCCAAACTTTATTCGTATTACACGTTATGTCCGCTTATCGATCAACAAAATTTGTTAGGCGTTGAACAAGATTCGGAAAATGGATGTGCAATTGTGACGTTAGGAAGAAATATTGTTATTCGATACAAGGTTAGAATTTTCGTGTTTACTTTCTCAACATTTATTTCTCGAACCGGAGCATGTATTTTGACGATACCTTGTTTTACAGCTTCAGGATCCAAAGCAGTTGAACAGTTGGACGAGCAAAGATCGATTAACGTCGCAAGTCATATACGATAAAACAACGAGTCGTTATGCAGCAATATTTAACGAGAAGAAGTTACGCGCGTGGACGGTAAACGAAACGGATCTAAATACCATCAAAGGTTACAAATTTCAATCTCCTTTACATACGATCCTCACTTCCGAAACATCTCCGTCCGTATTGGTGCGCAAAGACGGGGCTAGCGCTTCGTTGGAATGGGCTATAGAGAACAGGAAATCTTGGTCCAAAGAGGGAATACTGCGTACGGATGAAAAAATTCTGGACTGTCGCTTGATTCGTATAGGCAACAAAATCAATTTATGCCTCTTGACGGAAAACAAACGGATATATGCCTGCGTTCTGGTTAAATTGAACAACGAAACCTACTCTCAAGATGCCGATCGAGCGAGGCGAATGGAACTTAAACGAAGATCGGAAGAACTTGTCGGTTACACCGTCTTGCAAACCAAAAACAAAGCATGTTTCTTGACGCTATGTAAGTCGACGGTCGTTACGTTTCCCGTTAATTAAACCTGTATACGCGTCTATAATTTTGCGAATGCTTTTCTATTTGTTAGGGTCTCACGGCAGATTGTACAGCCATTCTTTGATGGAAGCGAACAGCGAGTCCGGCCCGAACGCGTTGATCGGTATTGTCGGCAATATAGACACCAAACATCCAGTCGCCGTCGCTCCGTTGAACGAGACAACCTTAGCGATTTACGGGGCAGACGCTTCGGAAGAAGGAGCCGTATTAATGATTTATAACGTTCAATTCAAATTGGTTCAAGATATACAGAAATTGAAGTTATATACGAAAGATGCAAAATTATGGAAGATCGAGGATAAACTATTGCTAGCCGCCAACAAGCATTTAGCGATTGCACCGTATCATCTAGCGCCTCAGAAAATAGCGACGTTGCTTGGTTCGTCGTTACGCTTCAAGCGTACCGATGAAACCGAAGAGGACGACGATATCGTTGTAATACAGGAGTCGACTTTAGCCGAATGGGAAAAGAATGAACCGACGACCGTCGACGAACAGTCAATTCAGAAACCACCGACGAAACTGTACAAACAGATATCGTCTTATATAAACGAGGGCTTGAGCGATTCGGCGATTCAAGAAATATTAATTCCGCAGCTGATAGAATCGAGAGACGTCGGGACAATTGTGTGGTGTTTAAATGTTTTCAAAGACCTGCCGGAAAAATTGCTAACAGAACTTTTAATCTTTACGCTTCGAAGTTCCGACGAAACTTTCGTACCAACGCAGAATGGTACAATCGAACATCCATCGAAGACCAACAATTGTTTCTCGAGAAACGCTTTCCTCGATCAAATTTTCAATCTTACTTATTCCGACGTTTCTTTAGCCTCCTATCTTAAAAGTGGCTTAAACTTTGACGAAATTCTACGACTGTTGCAGTACTTGACACAAAAATTAGCCGATCGAGATAACGAGTTTTACAACTGTCTTGCACAGGAACCCAGGGACAAACAGCTATACGAATGGTCTAGCCTTTTGTTGGAATCTCACTATCAACATTACGTATTGTCAAGAGATCCGGAAGTATCGACACTTCTGAATGAACTTAATTGCGTCTTGGATGATCATGTAAGTGTTTCTGCGACTTATCCAAAATTCATATCAGAACTCGATAATAATGTCTTTTGACTTTTTTTTATCTTCGTTGTCATCGTTCACTGACCAATATCCGTTTTAGCTGCATCTACTAAGGGACATGGAAAACTTGAGACCTCTCCTCAAACGGATCATCAACGGCAAATCGTTGAAATTATTACAAAAGGATCGTAACAAGTTCTATACAATCGAGGAAATAAAACTTTACTGATGTATCACATTCTGGAATGTAGACTAAATGCGAACATAGGTTATGAAACAATGTCGAATGCTCAAATTCCTCGTGGAAAGAAAAACTACGGTCTTTTATAATGTCGTTTTTATGATCTGAGACTCCATTTACACACACACAGACTGTCGATAGAATCGATTTTCCTGTTACTATTCTTTTCTATTCTGTTCATTAAGAAAGTAGAGATACGATTCGAGTTAGGTAGCCCCTAAACAAAGTGTCTTTGTTCGTATAGATTCACGAAATCTTTTTTTTTCCGCCTGTAGAATTATAATTCTACTCGACATACGTTGTGTCTAATCATACTTTCGATAAGTATCGATTATAACAAGCAAGAAACCGAAGTCACGAATAAATAATATTTATTTCTATTCGTATCTCTCTCTACAGAGCGCTTTTGTTTATTGCGACGAAATCCACGCACTGTGTGATTTTGTTACGAACTTAACAGCAAAAATATTCTATGTTTCGAATCTATTTCAGCTGATCAATGTACGGCACAGTATTCAAATCACCAATGGCAGCCATACTTAACTTTCCATTTACTAATTTGGCAGCAACCTGCAAATATATTTACGATATATAGTACACGGCGCAAAGGTAAACTAGCTGAATTATTAATGTACGTACAGATGTTACGTCAGAGGCAGAAACATTTTCGACATCGGCAATCAATGATGCTACGGAGGAGACTTTACCCTTGAGCAATGCTTGACATTGTAAACTTTCTAACACAGCAGCTCCATTATCTGCATCGTTTAAAATGTCTGCTTTCAATATTGTTTTACCACGAGCAATATCACTGTCGGATAACTTCAAAGTTCTCAACCACTTGAAGGCAGCTTTCGTTAACTGAAATGTAATTACGGTAAATATGAAAAAGTACGTTTGAACGACGACGCGTATCCACGCTGATAGCGTATTCATCGTTAATAGCTTACTCACGTTTCCTGCTATATTGGGTGCTGAACATATAATAAAGCCAAATAGACCAGAATCGGAATAGCTGGCATTCAAACTTGATATTGCAAATGGGTCCGAGCCTGCAATCTTCAACAATTCTTTCTGCAACGGACTCGGACTGCATCCCCATTTAATACGTGGTCCAGCGCCAGAGGCCCTTTGCAGTACAGCACATGCTAGAGCGTCCTTCTCATTCTTCAAACTAACACCTTCCACGGCAACTGCGACGCTGGCTAGATCACTGGCTCTTTCCTTACGAATTTCTCCACCGTAATACCGTGATGGTTCGATTGCGCAATCTTCGGTACCGATAGACAAATTATTTGCTAAAGCGGTGAGTTCTGATAACGAAACGCCTGTTCCTACGACCGCACATTTCGGTCCGGTGAACCATTTATTCACAAAGTGCTGCAACTGTGTAAAGAAGGTGAAGCATCGTTTAAAAAAAATAAGAGCATAAACGTTCTGATCATTTTCACGATAAGTTTACGGCAACACGTACAGTTTCCGACCCAATTTTTCCTAACTGACGTTTCGGAGAATACAAAGAGTGTCCCAGTCCGGTATGGTAGGCAGCTTTATGCAACTGCTCCAGAAGTATGACTATATTAGGCAAAGTGGATAACTCGTATTGCAGTCTGGATAACTCATCCGATACTTCCCATGGTTTGAAGACTTGTTTAGTTGCGACATACTCCAAAAATTGAAGCGCATCCGGTCTATAATAAGAAACGATAGCAATCTGTCAGAGGAATAGACGATTCATCGAACATTCTGTTGCAATAAATATTTACAAATTATCCCTTATCACTTGTAACGTGTACGCGATACTTTCTCGATCTACGGTCGCAGTTAAAATGCCACCCGCCTGCTGAATATTTCTTGTTATGATAAACCCGCTTGCACTGGCTGTACTTAAGCCTGCGGCGATCCGTAAATGATGGGTCACACCTTGGGTATCGTAAGTTTCATTTCGTGATCCGGCTCTATAAATAAATGGCTGTTAAAACGAAGAAGAAATAGAAGGTTCGTCGAAACAAGTATATGTACTTATAAAGCTTATACTATAAAATACCTGAAAACTATGGACACCTGTGAGATCGGTGAATTATTATCGCAAGTGGCAACAGTGACTTTGTTGCCTAAAACTTGACATTCGGGAGCAGTGGCAACCAAAGGTTGAGCAGCTGCTGCAGCTACGTAATGCCTGACCTGCATAAAATATTAAGCAACCTGAGCGGAGGCTGTGAGACTCGTGTGAGAAATATTTATAATTGCACAAAGATCTTATATAATATGAAAAATATCAGAAATTTTAATTCTAGAGAGAGAGAGAGACGACAGAGTGTGTGTGTGTGTGTGTGTGTGATCATTTAACACGGTTTTGTTCTTGTAATCTATACAACAGAATATGACATACAAAAGGATATCGAATCGTTTACATAACAGCCATGAGTTACATCGTGTCGTTTATCAACCACAAATAACTTTCCCCTTATTTAATTGATATAAAAATAAGAGTATAATCTTTACCGTCGAGCTGCGTAATAACGACGATCGTGCAACCGAACAAGCCATTTTCTCAGTCCTAGATGACTCTTAACAGCTATTTCGTCGAAGTAGAACACAGCTAACAAAACTTGTGTTCACAGACTGCAGGTGGCGATGGCGTAAAACTTCAAGTCCGCGGACCATAAAGATGAGATAAGAACAGTGCATACGCGAGGTAGGTTGGTACCAAATTCGTAAAAGGAATTCATGGAACTGAAGGATTGTTCGGTCGAAGGGGGTAAAATTTCGATCATATTACGAGGAGCAATCAGTGCTGCCATCTGTTGTCAAATTGTAAAATAAGTTTTAATTTTAATTTAGAATAACTGTTTGTTATCATAGAAAAATGATAAAACTACAAAACACAAGCGAATGAGAGCGAGAACAAGAACGTGCCAGAACAATAGAGGGGATAGGGATAACATAGAAGCGCATTTCAGCGGACAAATTCGGTGACTTATACGTATTGTATAGACTCATAGAGTCATAGGGTCAAGTGTCAAAACACACCGGCAGGCAAGGTTCGGTGCCGTGCACATGTGGTCCGTCGAGTGCATACGAATCTATATATACGTAGATTCGGTCCGGTACCGATCGATACCATATATGTATAGATATACATACACTCGACACACCTACAATGTGCACGGCCGAGCATTATCTATAACTATGTTTTGACCCATAAGCGGACAATACTATTATTTTGTATATTATGTATATACTTATGTATACGTATATATATTATATGTAGATTGTACGCATATGCTAAAGCTACAAAACACAATAAACTTGTACACGTATATGTTTTCTATTATATTCTATTTATTTCGTTTATAATGTTAATGAAGTCGATACAAATATGTTCGTGCTATATTTGTACTCGTAAACATTGTAATGTGAAGTTTCTCTTCGTTATGATAATTACCGATGACATACCTACGGATAAATAACTGCAAAAATTGATTCACCTGATGGCCGTTTTGACAATTTCTTTTCGACGTTGGTATTATGCTAAAAATACAACGAATATGTTGTATATATACACTTGGTTAAAAACTTAAAAACTCGTTGCGTTACTATTGTAAAATTGTAAAACTCAAACGATACATATACACGTATACTTCGCTTACTTACGAAAACATATCAACATATGTACATACATACATACATACATACACACATACATGTGTACATACATTCATGCATACATAAATACATACATACGTACGTACGTACACACAACCGTGCATCTATGTGCCTACGTATCGTAAATGCTACGAATATGTTTAAATAACAAAAAAATAATTATCAAGTTCCATTATTTCGCATACAGTGTGCACTTAATGTCTGATCAATTTGGCACAAAAGTTCCATGATTTCGTAATCTTTGGTTCGAAAAAACACTTAACAAATAATTAATACTCGATCATTTGGAAGCTACTCGCCTGCATTTCGCTACGAACATTGCAACTGAGATACAGTCTTATTTGATATTTTAGTATAATACAATCACATATGTATTTAATGTTCTCATCTACAGTTTAAACATGAAAAAATATCATGACTCAATGTACTGGCTTGTACGTACATTACAAAATGCGTAGCTCATTTGCAATCCCCGGGATACAATTCATGTAACTATAGATAATAATATTGATGCTTATATAGGTGCGTACCATGACTAGAATAAAAACGAACGTTTAAAATTTTTTATCGCTATGCGTGATGGACATACTTACAGCTTACAGCGCTAAATTAGGCAACTCGCTCAGTTTATTTAGCGAATTCTTAAACTGCCTCGAACGATTGAAACGATCGTTCGAGGCAGAAAAATAAACGACAAAACAGAAAACTCTTTCGAATCGAATCAAGAGACGAACAGTTTGTCGATGGTGATGCAATTAACGGAAATGCTGCAATGGGCAACGATCATATAAAAAAAAAGAACTACGTACGTTGTATGCAGCAATACCAAAAAACACGAAAGCAGACATGTCGATAAATAGGAAACATGCAAACGTTCCCTTGCGTAGCAAAGATTTCGCACTATCGTCTCGCAAATCTCGCAACGATCACCGACGAAGAATCTTATTATCGCCTTTTAGAAACATGTAGTATAATCATCTCGTTAAATTTTGCACTGTTCAGGAGAAGTTTGTGTAATACGAATATGTGATTTAAAGGCTAGATACTCGAAATAGTAGTACATAATTTCTTTGATCCGCGGGTCTCATGGAACAAACGTTCCTTCTACGATTTTGTTCTTAATTTATCACGTATCTTAAAAAAATAATGTCCGTTTGAAAAATAATAAATACATGTCACATTTCGCTATATGTATACTTTTACGACGATCGTGTCCTATCAGTCGACTACTTTGATCGTAGAAAATTTTTAAAATGTCTTTGTTAATTCAACGAGTTTACGTCGCTGCATTTATTACATTTGTGCGCCTCTCTAATCCAAACTTGTACTTTTGCTCGAAAGGTAGAGAGACTTTGATCGATATTCGTCATTGTCGCTTCTAAAATAAAATCTTCGGTGTTTAAAACTCTACAAGTACATGCGACTAAAAATGCAATCGAATCACAATATTCTGTAATTAGTCGCTATCACCTTTGTCCCAACGTGTCCAATTAAAAACGATCATCGATACCCTTACAGCGTATAATAATTATTTATGTTTAGCAAAATAGCTCGAGCCGAGCTAGGCTGAGTTACGCCAAGCTGAGTTAAACTGAAACTAAACGTTCAATTGCGAAATAGCGTAACATTGCGAAACGACAACATTTTAATTTCTATCTAATGATCGCATCGATTGCTGGCACAAGTAACACGTTCGGACAGCAAACATTCGTTCGGTAAAGTTTGAAAATGTCAATCTTTGATGAGAGAATACTGAAAAGAACTATAATATAATACATAATAATATCGATCCAACTAGCCAACTTGGCGAATCAGCCGAATACGAAATAATCGATTATAAATCAATAATAGCCGGTGTAATGATGGTATGCTGGTCTAGGTGGATGATACGGTGTCGGACTTACAGGATAATTCGGATTGTAGCCTGACAAAGGTGGCGGCGGCGGCGGCGGTGGGGAAGACAAAATTCGACCATCCGCCGGATCAGCTACAACATGCTGAGCACCGGAGCCAGTCGATTGCGGACTCGTGATGACGCGCGCTTCAGATCCGTGCAGATGATGACCTCTCGATAAGGCGAGATCAACGGTGTGCCTACCACCAGGAGTAAGATCTAAACTCGCAATCCTCAGTATATCGTTATGAGGATACGGCGGCGGTGGCGGAGGTGGCGGTGGTAGCGGCGGTGACGACGATAGCTGTGGAGGCGGCGGTGGTACCGAATTCGATACGGATGAATCTGATGCGGATGTAGATGCAGACACGGACGCGGATCCAGATGTCGATACCGATCCCGATGCCATTGCGGATACCGACGCCGATACAGACTCCGATACCGGAATCGGTATTGATACCGATGTCAGAGACGACGATGGCGACGGTTGCGACGATAATTCCGATTGTGATTGCAATTGCGGCGCAGAAGAAGAAACGGAAGACGAGATCGACGGTGGTCCTGCTACCGTTACGGACGCTGCAACGGTCGACTGAGAAGGAGTCGAGAGAGGCTGAGGCGAGATCGAATAGCTGCCCGTTCTACTGAGATCGACAGTTTGTCTTTCCGTAATCTCGTACAAATGATGGTGATGGTGATACCGTGCAGTATTTTGTATCTGTACACTGAAACCGTGGTGAAATCCTCTCGCGGTCATATCCAAACCCTGAAGTTCTCCACCATTTAGAACAAGAGGCTCGAAACTTGATCTTTCCCTAGGAAAGGTTTCATCGATGGCATCGTATTTGTAAGATGTCGACAGACCCAGTTGCATCGTTTTCTCTTTGACAGAGAGGCTGAGGTTTTGCGCTACGGTATCACCCTCGTCGCTCGACAAATTGTCGGTAGACGCTGGATGATGATGGTGATGATGGTGATGATGGTGATGGTGATGGACATCTTGATATCGTGAATTCGGCGTTGCCGACGGTGACACTACATTGTCCTGCTGCATGTGAACATAAGTGTTGGGGGAAGAAACGCGCGGTATATCTTCGTGATGCAAATACTGATCGATATTGTGCGTTCTAGGTGTCCCGATGTAATCGATCGATCGATGGAGTTGGTAATCGACGTGTAAATGAGTAGGGGGAGTACTCCGATTGTCCGGTGTAGGTGCCGGAGACATCAATTCCTCCTGTTGTTGAATGTAAGAATCCAAATGACTCGGCGACCTTTGAGGTAACGGAGACTGCAACTGACTGGAGATCGAATAAAGATTGGTATCGCGATCGTTGTCTTCCAATATCGGACTAGATACGGCGCCTATATCTCTCTCGGCAGCGTCAAGAGCAGCTTCGACTAGCAAACTAGCATTCGCGCTCTCGGTTCTTCTGTAAACGCTAAGCCCCAACTTGTTTTCCATAACGCTCTGCATTCTTCCTGCACCCGATACAGTCGACAATGCAGTTTTCTCTTCGATTTCCTTTCTGGCGTCCTCAAACTCGTAAGCGTTTCCAACAACGACGCCCGACGTCGAAAAACGCGGAATCGTCGTCGCGTGCGACGTTGCATTTACATTCAACGTAATCGATGGATTGAATTCACCTAGCCACTTTTTACTGCCTTTACTCTGTAATCTTGAAACACCGTATATATCTGCCTCTATACGAACATTTTCCATTGCCGAATCTAGAGCCGTTAGCATTAACGGTGGTGGTTGTGGTGGTGGTGGTGGTGGTGGTGGTGGTGGTGGTGGTGGCGGCGGTGGTGGTGGCGGTGGCAGTGGTGGCGGTGAGGGTGGCGGTGGCGGCTGTGTTGGTGATGGTGGCTGCAGCTGCGACGTCAACGCTGACGACGGCGACGGTGACGGTGACGACGGTGGCGATATTAAAACGCGCGAATTATGTTCCACTTTGTACTTGCCTGTAGGATTCGTTCCAAACTCGATTATATTCGAATGCGTGAAATTACTTGGCGCTTCAACCCGCAAGCTGTCTTCGAAGCTACCCTTGTTCAACGACGTTAAACTGTTGTTGTTATCCTGCTATAAACGTTACGATATCAAGTCGACAACCCATTCAATCACAAATACTCGTTAATAAACGTTAGCATCGTTCAGACAAACCTGGACTTTCCTGCTGGGTCGAGGAGTTTTGCCACGACCAACGTCTTCCACGAGCCCACCGCTGTACGCGTCGAAAGTGTACGCCACGGATCGTTCAATCTTTGGCATCATTTCTTCTGTGAGACCATGTACCTTCTTGTAATGAAATTGTAAGCATTGCTTTGTAGTGAAAGCGGCCTTGCAGCCATTTTCTTTACACCTGAAAATGATGCGCGCAATTAACGCAAGCCGACACGCGATAGTTCGCGTACGTGTACCCATCCGAAAAATATTCAATATGGACCTTACTTGAACGGTTTTACGCCGCTGTGTGTTAGCATGTGTATCTTCAAATTACTTTTGTTTTGAAACATTTTGCCGCATCTGTCGCAAGTCGCAGCACCAACCACGTCCTTGTGATGAACTTCTTTCATGTGACGCTGAAGAGCGGCACGTGATCCCAAAAGTTTTAAACAAAGCTTACACTGAAACTCGCGCAGGACCTCGGACATATCTAAACAAAAATTCGAGATACTTTTTAGAATAGAACTCGAAAATCCGATCAAATTTTCTTCGAATCCCGACAAGGCGAAGAAACTTTTACGCTTACCGCTATGCATTCGTTTGATGTGCACTTTGAGCTTTTGCGGTTGACAAAATTTACGTCCACAAAAATCGCACAACGGCCTTGAACGTTGAGGATTTTGCGCACATCCATACGTTCGATGCATCTCGAGATAATTCAGACGTAAGAAGAACTTTTTACAATACTGACACTGATATGCACCTTGACCTCCGTGCAGTTCTGCCGCATGTTTCATGATATTGTCTTTACCTAATACAGCAGCTCCGCATACCTAGAAAATCAAAATCGTAGACGTTATTCGTCGAGCCGAGAAAAATCTGAGAATCATTACGTTAATCGTTGTTAATCTGTTATTACAAATCAGATTCGTTCGAGCTCACCTTACAATGATATTTTCTTATCGTCAAACTATAATTTGTGTCATGGAAGATGCAACAGTGCAAACGATAATATATCGGATGGGTGAAATTCAAATTGCAACCTCCACAATCTAAACACAGAAAACAGAATAAGCGTTTCATTTAATTCATACTCGAACGTTTAATCGTTTTCGTCGCAACATTCACCATCGATGCTGATATTGACAAAGATGATACCATACTCGTTTTGTCTACTTTATTTTTTCTTGTCCAAGCCGAAGATTGCGAATCCGCCCAATATGTTAGCTCCATTCCCGATACAATATTTTGAGTTGTAACTAGATGTAATTCTCCTTGCTTTGTAATTACAGCAACACTCCTTTCTTCCTTTGTCTCTGCCGGTCTAATGTAACGGATCCAATTACTTTGTAGCGGATTGGTAGTACTGACGTAAGAAGTTTTACCATTGTTATCTATCTGAAGGAAAAAGAAAGTAAAATATAGTGTATTATCGAACGGATCTATTCCGATAGTCACGGTTAAACTATACATTATTTTTCCGTCCCAAGGAGGACAGAATATTCTTCAGACATTTTAAGACTAGGGACACCAGCGTTTTTCTTAACATTATAACTTACGTGTAGTAAAGATATAAAAAACGAAAAGAGAATGCAGAAAGTGATTTGTTTTACGAAACAACTTTGTTGGATTGTTGTACACCTCGAGTGTGTACAGTAAACGTTAATAATGTATAATAACGACGATGGCAAACATCGCGTCGATTTTACCTCCCAGATATGCCGCATGGAAAAATCGTCAGGGATGTCCATTTCCCTAACTGGTCGTCCTACAAGAGGCCCCAATTTCACGTGCATAGGAACAGAACTTTTGGCATATATTCCGAGTCCATGATCCGAATTAGCAACCCTTAATTCAAAGCAATCGGGCAACGAGTCTCGGGCATATAACGGTCGATCGTTGTCTACCATCAACCGTTTCTCTTCCTTTTGTGTCTTCACTTTTGTTTTACAATGATCCGTCGATGATGAATCGTCGTCTGATTCGATATTATCCTCGGTTGTTAGCCCATATCCATCGGACATGGGATCGTCACAGTTTATGGCTTTCAATATTTCTGGATTTTCCTTATGCTCGTTTAACCAATCCTCTAGCGATATGGAATCTGGAATCGCGAACTGCGGGGTTGTCAATGGGCAGGCATCTTGCAAGTGACGATTGTTACATTCCTGACAAAGTTTTATCCTAATAGCAAGCCTCTGTGGCTCGGACATTAAATGTTCGAAATTCCCTTCGGTTTCCGGCCTCGTGCCTACAATAACCGACGATACATCGTCGATTACAGGACTAGTATCTTTATCGTCTTGTACGATTAGTCCGTCTTGCGGCGCTTTCCGAACATCATGATGTTTGCGATTCCTGTGTTCGCTGGTATGTTTATGCCTTTTCCTTTTGTGCTTATGCACAGAATCCTCTATGAAATCTTCCGATGAATCCCCCTTCATATTTTCATCTTCTTCTCCGTGCATACCATATTTCAATCGTTTCCGTCTTCTTTTCAATTTACGAACGTCCGTTACATCCACTTCGACAAAGTTTACATTCAATGCAGCAATGTCAGTGACTGCATCGCCTTTCTCGCTGTCGCTAGCACAACCAAAAGTATCGATATTTGAAACATATTTCTCCTGTTCTAACTGTACAGGTGGTACAACACCGGTTGCATTCAATTTGTCTAATACTCTGTCCACTAGTGTTTCCGACTTGCTGAAATTATTTTTAACAGCAGACAATATCGTTGAACCATTTGATTTCGACGTTTCATTTTTCCCATTTATAGACGCTATATTTTTCACATCGACATCTCCGATGTTAGAATAAAATGTATCTTTCTTCGTACTAACATTATCTATATATTCTATACTATCTATTTGTTCAGTCTTCGATGCGATAGTTTCATCTTCACTAGCAGTCTTGCAACTGCTGTTTTCTGTGTTCGACTTGACTTCGTGTTTCTGCGGTAGCCCATAAGTATCTCCCTTCGCAGGAAGTTGTTGCTTGTCCTCCAACGTTGTATCCCTTATCAGGGATTTTGTAGATTCTATAGGTACAATCGCATCAACAGTTTTTAGATGGCGTTTCTTTTTTCGTTTGTCCTTACGATGTTTAACTTTGTTCTTGTGATGTTTGGATCGTGGATCGCATCTATTATATATCTCCACTTCTTTGGATAATCTGGGTGGTTCCGCGATCACAGAAGTTTCATGTTCAGTAATAACAATACTGCTTTGTTTCCTCAAACTCCGTCGAAGATATTCTCCCGAATCTTCTACCGATAAATCAGTCGAGGCCATTTGCATTTTGTTTTTCTTAATTCTATTCGTCTCAACCTCCTCTTCTCCATTCCGTTTGCTGCTGTGTCTATCAGTCATACAACCAATTGTACACGTTAAAAAGGATCGATTGACAATGACTCTAATATAGTGTATTACAACTGATCAATCTTGAGATAACATAAACTTGAAATAATAACCATGTAAAAAAAATCACGCATTAGACTCGTATAAAAAGAAAATGTTTACCCAGATACAATCGATGTTTTAACATTCTTTCGGTTCTCCCTCGCTCCAGGAGAAAGCAGACAATTGTTACTTGTATTACGTAATTTGAATGAACAAAAAATTATCGATTGTTTTTATATCCAACATAAAGGCCGCAAGATGGCGATTCAACTAAGATGCTGACATAGAAGAGGGGAAGTCCCGACAACGAGTGACAAGGAAAGTTCACATATCGGTTGAAATGGTTTTTGTAGTACGAATGAGATGTCAATAACAAACCGAACATCGTTTGATCGAATATATGGAAAAATAAATAAATAAGTAAATAATCGTAGACTAATTAAATAACCGATCAAAAATAGATGGACATGTTGAAATTAGAGAAGAACATAGTCTGTTTGACACCTACCTAGAAGCGGACTCTGCCAGATCGAGCAAATAAACAGCAACATCTTCATCCGTTGACAGACCCAGACGCTTTTTAAGAGATAGCCAACGTTTGCCGTTGGTAAGACCAATACGAACGCTGCGAAAGTGTCTCGTTTCCTGTTCCGGCACGACGCCAGAATTATTGGTTCGATGATGAGAACTTCTCGTTAACCCCAACTCTCTCGCATGCCTCGTATTTTTCTTCGGCATCACTACATTATAGATCTGCCGGTATTAAAGCGGCGAACTTGAAGATACCGCGGAGGTCGCGCACCGCAACCGGTATTATCCTATCCTCTTTATGCTCACCGCCTAACCACCGCCGCCCACTCCGCCCGCGCCCGTTCCACCCACCCTTCGCACTTGCCACTCACACTCACGAGTCACGACACGGCACGACTCACCACCCCGTACCTGAACCCTGAACCCGACAACCTCACAACCTCACAATCGCTCCCAACCAATCGCACCCATCACGCACGTCATTTACTTACTTCCCTTCTTCTGCTTGTTCGTTATTCTCCTTTCCTTTACCATACCCCACGCACCCCGTCGTCACGATCATCCTCTTTTATCGATCCTGCTGTCTGCGCTTCATCGCCATGTACCCACATGCATACGCTTATATATACGTATGCAGCATGTTGCATATACATACATACTGCGGCATGCTTACACACGTGCATGCATGTACATCTGCATGTACAATGTATACGCGCGTATGTATCAAACCTGCACCTGTGTCCTGTGTTAATACACATACATACATACATTACATGATACGTATACGCGCCAATGCGTATGCAACTGACAGTACGCAGCAACTACAGTCAACGAGTCAATTTGCATCTCGAGTCTCGAGTTTCGAGCAGGCTCGAGCATCATCTATGAATGCGTATAATTCCTAACATATTGTCAGATGTGAGAAACGACACGTAAGATCAAGTAGCTTCTCTAATATTAAATCTATTAGAATAAATAAATGTTGTTTTTTCGGCGCAGGAAATATATTTTTAATAAAATGCCCCGGAAATTTAAACACGCATATATGTATGTTCTCGATATCGTTTATTTCCACATACTAATTTCAAGGAAATATGTACACTCTTCAGCGTATAATTTAATATCGCTTTCTATTTATGTTCGTACGTTAGTCGATAAAATCGAAGTCGATACTTCTGCCTCTAAGTATATGTACAATGTACACCACATTTGTACGAAAGGTACTTACATCACGTCCCACGTACGTATAGTATGACATTGTATATTTACGTACGTTTAACTGTTTCATTGGGAATACAAATCGACTAGATCAATATCGATATCTTCAAATCGAGTCTTCCCATCGTGTATGGTCGATTGATGACGGATGCAGCATCTCGATCCGATCTCGATAGTAATCGAGGTACGAATCAAATCGATAACGATACTAGCGAAGTAGCACGAGAGTTTTCAGAAGCCTGCGTGCATGCTATAGGTACGTAAGTACGTGTAGCTAGCGTTGCGTTAGCCGATTAGTCTGGTTGGTTGAGTCCGGTCAGTCTGGTTATAAGTACATACGATTATTGTCACGAAGAGACACGATGTCACGAAAAGCAATCCGGGCTATAGATTGGGCAGCTATTATCGAACGGATGGGAGATCTTGAAAAGAATCAACTGGCTGCGTTTAAAATCAGATCAGACAAATACTTACGACGGTTAGTAAAAGTCTTTACAATCGATTCGCGTTACATAATGTCTTCGAATATACGCGTTAAATTATACCGTTAGTGTAACAATTATTTAAAGGTACACATATCTTGATTATTCTTGGTTCTCTACATAGACTAAAGAATCTTTCGATCATTTTGATATTAAGCAAATACAACTCTTCTGTCTTTTCTGTCATAACCTCGTTACACATGTCAGATATACATATTATGTTACCATGAGACTGGGAACGATACCGTTAAAGAGTTCTTGAAATAATCATTAACGAAGAAAATATTTCGTATATTTGTGTGTAGTATGGCCGCTAGCCCAGAATCACCACCGAAGCTCGATTGGGCATACTATAAGAAAAATATTTCAACCCCGGGTCTGGTGGATAAGTTTCAGAAAGAATACGAAGCATTCTCAATAGCCTATCCAGCCGATAAATATACAGCACAAATTGATACCGAAGAAAAGGAAGAGGTAAACAAATTATACAATTTAAATTTTCAAATAACGTTTAATCGATGACATTGCAATTTATGTTACAGAAAAAAGATATAGAACAAATAATAATTGAATGCGACGAGGCGATTGTAGAATTAGAAAAAGAGATTACTAAGATTAACGGAATGTTACCGTTCGAAGAGATGACAATGGAAGATTTTACTATTTTGTATCCAGAACAGAGTATTAACCCTGACAAACCTACAATGTGGCCCCATGACAGATCGTTGGATGAAGATCCCGCAGAAACTGATGATCATGCAAAATCTGAACAGCTGGAAGATGAAGGCAAAGGAGATGAAAAGCCCAAGAAAATGGGTCATTAAATAAATTTAGTACAACATAGTCCCAACGTAATATTAATGTCATTAATGATTTCTATTTCAATAGTCATTATTGCGATGAAATATTAAGGTTAGAATAATTTCAAAAGTGTCAAAATAAAAGTATACCATATTAATTAGCTCTAATTAAGCTCACAAAAGTTCTCACGGAAATACAGATATACTAGAAATTTCTTTCTTCTCGTTATATTCAGTTCGTGAAATAGATGGCATTTATTAAACGTAGATTTTACCATACCATACTCGTTTGCCAACAGATTAAAATATCCTTTGGAAATGTTTGGTGTCGCCATCTGATGTTTCTAAGAATGATGTGCAATCGATAAATTGGTCTATCAGTTTGAGCGTTCTGTCGCTACGTGGTTTGACGGCACGCAGACCCCTTAACTAGAGACTAGCGAGACCCTCCGATAATTACAATAGAATTTCGTAAAGGCGACTTTGCAATGAAATCGGTTCAAACGTATGTACAATGTACATATATGTCTAGTCCATAATAATAATAGGACTTGTAACGATTACTCGAGTGCGTATGTAAATTGTACTATGTACATACATTATATTGTTTATAAATAACAAATGTCGGTTAAATTGCGGCACTATACGTCCTGTAGAATTAATTAACAATTGATCAATTATTTCTAATTATTAATCAATAAGTCATTTCACACGATTGTATCACACTGTAAGACACAAATTTAAATTGACAATTAAAGTACAGAAGCATGATTTGTGCCATTAAGAATCTATTAGTGTTGTTATGCCTGTTTACACTTGCGCGCACCAGCTGTATATATGTATGTATTCTTTATTTCCCTAGTATCCATACAACATGTGTATGCATGCACATTTCCTCTCGGCGAAAGCATGAATACATATGTATGTAGGTATGACATACGTTACATGTACGTAATTCTAAATTGTAAAGAATTGAATAGTGAGCTTGACCTGGGCCAATCAGATTTCTGAATCGTTTAGAATACACTTTCACAGGATTGTTTGCATTGGTCCAGCAATTGTTGCTTTGTCGTTTTGCGTTGTATGTATGCAGATACATGCACTCGATTTCATTGCAGTGCCTACAAATTTAACGATTGTAATGTAACCACATACATATTATACATGTAGTTGCAGATAAAGTTCCTAGTTTGTTTGAGCAGGTACAAAATTATCGTTATTAAATTATATATATGTACACAACATGTGTGTAGATATATACATCATTATTTTTATACATAGGTGCAAATGTATATGTATGCGATGTATGAAAGAGTAGTGTGGGTGTCCTCGTTATACGTACGACGATTCGTTAATGCTTGGACTTGGAAGAGGCATGTGGTGTGTCTATTAATTGATCAACTTTTCTTTTTTCCGTTTCTCTCTTTTTCTGCCTGTTATTTTTTTACCTTTGTATCGCACAGCTTTCAATTAATTTCAAGGAACGAATTTAAAAAGTGAGAAGGTAACGTCGGAAGAGTTATTGTACTTGCCGACGAAGGAGTTACCAAGAGTTACCGAGAGCACGTCAACGTATAGATTGGAGGCTACCTGAATCTACCACTCATAAACGATGCATGATCCGTTTCTTCTTCATGTGGTTGGTTCTTGTACATTTCGAGTAGGAGTTTCACTTTTGAACGAGTGCGCATACAATTCTTGAGTACCTGCTGGTAATCGTTCTCGAACGAAGACGTACACAAATAAGGTTGTAGCGTATACTTTGATATTCATCGGCTAGGAAATTTTGTAACGCATACATACATATTCGGTCGCGTTGTCGACACAGTCGTGCTTTACCTAGATTTTGAACGTATAAAAGATTGGTACAAACGAATACTTTTTTTACTATATTTTGAAATCACCCTTCGTTATTACTTACGGAATAAAAAATATCTTCGAATTAAAATTAACGAATACCATATACGTATCCAAAAATGTTGCTTAAACGTAAGCAATCCTTTATAAATTGGGATTAGCGTTTGCCAAAACTGTTGCATTTTTTACTAAAAAAGAGCGTCGTACATACTTTCAAATCGAATGTATTATCTATTCCCTTCGTTTGCTTCCTGATCATCCAGTGTTCTGTTCTCTTTTGACTCATCGATATTGCGTTTGCGACGAATACGATCTTAATTGTCGTCAGAATTCGTTTCAGCTTCGACAGTAAACTCTATTATCTCGTATAATAGAAATATAATTTTATTTTCTTCATTGTTCATTGTTCTAGATAACGGTTATTTGTATATCGTACATGTTTAGAACATTTTGTATATGCAAAGTGTAGGTTATGCAGATCGTCTGCACAGTAATGTAATGAATAGCTGTGGGAACTCTAATATTAGCACAAAGCTACGTGGATCTAAGTGTTTGGAGGTACAGGAAGAATCCGTTGGTAATAGTCGAGCTACAGAATTAGATAAAGGAGATGTCAATGCATTAAGTGGTTACAACACAAATGATTTTAATGCTCCACGCGGCCCACTGGTCATTTGTCAAAGGAATTCAAACCATTACTCGTCTGATCACAGCTTTTCCAGGTTCAAGCCCAGGTGAAATATTTACATAACCAGATTTTTAAGGATCCTTCGTTTTCCACATTTATTTGCTACATTGAATTATCGTAGAATCAGTGGTGTCCCACGCAATGAATTTCGAATGGCACGCGGTGGCAGTTCTGGAGATCGTGCCAGAGGTGCGTTACGGGGTAGGGCCTTTAAGAAGGCACCAGTCGAGAGAGACTCGAATCCGGAAACCAATTATTACCCTACGGCTAGACCAAAATTTCAAGAATCGCTGAAAAATCAGGAAAATTCACAGGGAAAGTATTACGATGACAAAAGAATAAACGGTTGGTATCGAGAAACTTTTATGCGTTGAAATGCTAATATCTTTATATAATTTGAACGTAATGCAGCTGTTTTTGTCGTTTTGTCGTGTTACAGAAGACTCTAGAATTTCCAAACTCTTGAGGAGATTATGCAGGGAAGAGGATTACGATCATTTTATCCTGTTGTGCAAGCAATCGCAGGAAGGTGTAATAGCAGCCGAAAATCAGAGATACATACGTCGAAATTTGGAAGTGATTTGCGAAAGTCTATTGGATCTGTTGCACACCGGACCCGGACCCGAAGCAAAGCAGCAAATCGCAAAGTGTCTAGGTCGTGTTGGATACGCAGCCGAACAGGATTTTAAACGGTAAAAGACTAAATCGGAAAGTGGAAACTTTTTGGATCGTTTCGATCGTTGCACGCCTTATTTCGTGTTTTCAGATACACGGATTGGGTGTTTAACAAGTACTCGCTGGAACGGAAGGAGGACATCAAATACCTTTTGATTAAATCGTTCGTCGAAGTCTTCAAGTTGGATGCAGAAGCACCGAGATTGAAAGAATTTTCAGTGGTATATTTTCACCGACATTACGTTTAGAGCGTTGCATCGCGATCGACTACCCGCTTACTTTCTTCTCATATTATTTGTTATTTTCAGCTGGTGATGTCCCAATTACAAACAACATTGGAGAACGTCGACCGATCGGACTTGCTAGTGGCAACGGTAGACGCGATACTGTTGATCATGGAATCGTATCCTGAAACGTTCTCAAATCATTTTCGCGATACCGTCGACATACTTGTCGGTTGGCATATAGATTCGACTCAGCAGAAAACGATCGCGAGTTACGCCAGTCGTAGTTTGCAAAGATTGCGAACCTTTTGGATAGCCGATCTACAGTTCACGTTGACGTTGTTGGGACAATTTCTAGAGGACATGGAAAGTTACGACGAGGAGTTGGCTTTACCAGAGCCTGGTAGGAATTCGCCCGGCGACGAGACTTCTCCGACCCCGAGGGAGTGCATCCTTCGTATCACGTCTCTGATCTCTGTGTTTAATACGGTCACGAAGAGTATATCCGAACATTTGAATCCAAACGTCACACCGAACGTGCAATGGTCGTTCTTGACCGACTGTTTGTCGAAAATGCTGAAAACAGTGGTGAAAGCTATCGAATTGGACGACGATACCGACAACTCGCTCTCAAGTTGCATTTTGACGATCGAAAATGCTGACGAGTTAATGAAACGCGTGAAAGCCGTAGGTGGAACCGTTCCGTCACCTCGTCGAAATTTCAACAAATCCGAATCGGCCGAGGAGAACGTGCTCGAGATGTTAAGATCGTTGAAACTCGATAAGAACGAGATGAGAAGCTTGAAGCTGAGCATCGAGAGAGAGATATGCTCGAATGAGAAACGAGAATCGCTGTTGAACTTTGTACGATGGTTGCAATCGAGAGCAGGAAAGGGAAAGGACAGCCTAGACCTGACCGAGGAGAAGGAGGAGTTGATTGTAACCGCGAACGAGTGCGCTTTTCTGCTGTTGGGCCACCTTCAGAGTCGTACAACAAAAAATCACGAGTTACTTTACAAGTTTATCGATCTTCAGCTGAAAAGAATTCACGTGTTCTGGGACGATACAATAATATCCATGTTGAATACTATTTCGAAAATAATCAAAGAAGTCTCGGCGAATTTACCATTGGAATTGGTGCACAAATTGCTCGGAAAAGACTCTGCGTTACTCAAATTGAGATTTCGCAATTCTACGTCTATTCAAAATGCTAGTCTCCGCGTCTACCATAGTTTGCTCAGTTTGAAAAATATTCCATTGCTACAGGAATCGTACCGGTACATATTGTCCGACTTGGAAATCGCGTACAGGCTCGTGTTGGCAGACATCGAAAGTCTGGTGCCCGACAATCCATTACTGAACGAGGTTAATTATAAGAAGAAGGACGCCGAAATCGTGATTACGTTCTTATTACGGGCTCTGTCCGACATAGGTAAATCGATACGCAACGTAAACAATCGTCGTACACGCGTAGGCTGACGCTGTTTCATTCGTAATCCTGTTGTTCTCAAACGTTTTCAGCGAATGCGAGTAATTCGATTATCGGTATGTGGGCATTGAAACCAAGCATTCTGGAACTATTGGCTGTCAAATTAAGACCTTACGACAGCAGCTTGTCGATTACCAGTCCGTTTTTGCAATATAGTATATTGTATTTGCTGTACGCTCATTGTTCCAGGTAAGACAGCGTCCGATCGCTACTCTCGCCGTGTCGCCCTCATCCTCGCCATCGCCCAATGATATTTCTTTATCTTAGGTACAATCACTTTGTTCCGAGTTCCAGCTTAATAACGGGAACCTCGGTTTGTCGTCCGATCGACATGTTTCCAGGTGCATTGGACGTACCGACTACGTCTCCGACCAGTGGTCATCTGTCCATAATTTTACATTTAATAGCTAAAAGTTTCAACGAGCATACACCGGATCAAACCCTGTTATTATTGTCGACGTGGATGCAAGAAATTTGTTTACAGTCGGAAAATTATATCGGCATATTGAGTAAAACTACCGAGTACGACCGCGTTCTGGAAAGTCTCGTCGTTTGTGGAACCAGCATCGATCCCGACATCTCCATCGCTGTTTGCGAACTCTTTGAAATGATGATGAGCGCCAAGAATGTGACATGGGGAGCGAACATTTATTCGTCTATAGTGGATTTGGCAACGTTACATTTGTCATCGCGCGAGCAGATCCTACGGGACAAGTACGGTTCTTTGTTAACACGCGTGCCTCTAAATATCGTGGTGCCGAAGCTGAATACGGAACGCTTGCTATCGGAAACGAAGGTGAGTCCAAGAGGAAGGGGGGGGGGGGGAGATGAAGAGCATATATTCAAGAGGATACGGTAAGAATAAAGATGAAGATAAAATTGTTATGCATCTGTTCGTAGAAACACCAAGGAATTAAAGATTATTCGATGGAATCGTTGATTCTTGCCAAACGACTGCATATGCGCGGAAACAGTAACGGAGAGATGCAAGCACAGCATTTTAAGACTTACATGTCGTTTTTGTTGCAAGAACAGCACTTGGACACGTCTGGACTAGCGGAATTATTCACGCTATCTTGGCCAATTATGTGAGTACGGTGACAATAAGATCAATGTTAGAGAACCGATCCTATGCGATGCCTGTACTCTGTGCCTTTTTCTAGATCCGATAGTGAAACAACCAGGAAAATGTACCGGTTGGGGGTTGCGAATCGATCCTTTTTACACTTTTGGGCTGGCTTCGAGGCAGCACAGCATTGCGTGAACAATAAGCTTCGCACTTCATTGGGAAAACCGCAAGAAACCTTCACCTCGATCGAAAGTGCTCTGAAAACATTGGCCCGCGAGGTATCGTACAACGTCGAGACGACGCGAAGAGAAAAACAAAGTTTGGACGATCTTCTTAGCGAACACAGTCGCGTCCGTCTTTTAATCGAATTCCTCGAGCACCTCGAAAGAGTGATTCATAACGCGGCAGAGGGATGCGCGATGGCTCTGCCACCATTCTCAAAGCCTGTTCGAACCTTTTTCCATACAAATAAATCCACTTGCAAGGAATGGTTGAATCGAATACGTCTCGCATTGTGCGTGGTTTCTCAACATTCCGGATTGGCTGGCAGCGCTCTGAGAAATAGTGGACGATTGCTGGAGGATCTGAGCAACAGCGACAACACGCATGGCATCGAGTTCGAGAGGGCGACTCTGTGCACGGCGCAAGCATTGGTTATGCTGGGAGAGGCGGAAGCGTTGCAAGGACTTTACGTATACACTAAAGAAAAGGAGAGAAAATTTCCGTGGTTAAAAGCCGCGATGGAAGAAGCTGCGGGTCACTACGAATCCGCTGCCGATGCTTATAAGCTGATCATCGAGGAACAAATGGCTGCCAGGGGGAAAGATACCGAATACGAGACGGAGCAAGAGGTCAACGATAGCGGGGGGGATTACAATAGCGAAGGCGACCGTAACGCCGATGCTAACGACAATGTCGCTGTCGATGTCGTTAACAATATCAATTGCGATACCAATGTCGAACTCGAAGCCGGTGTTAACATTAATATCGAGGTCGATGCCAATGCGGACGCCGATACCGAAACTCGTACCGATATCGACGCTGGCACCGACGTCCGCGTCGCCGTCGATGTCGGTACTAATACCAATACCGACGTCAACACTGATACCGATATCGATGCCGATGTTTGCGCCAATGTCGGTGCCAATACCTTTGCCAATGTTGATGTCTGTGCCGATTTTAATGCGGAAGTTATTACCGATGTCGATGACAATGAAAATATCAGCGATAATGCCGATGCCAACGCTCGTGCCGATGCCTATATCGATACCGATGCTAGTACCAATATCAATACCGACATCGACACCAGTTCCTATATTAAAGCTAAAGGAGAAGAAGGAAAAGAAAAAGTAAGCGAGGATGATACAGATGCCGCTGCTGTCACTGCTAACGACGACGCCGACGCCGACGTCGACGCCGATGCCGATGCCGATGCCGATGCCGATGCCGATGCCGATGATGACGACGACGACGACGATAACGATGCCGATGACGATGACGATGACGATGACGATGACGATGACGATGACGATGACGATGACGTTGACGATGACGATGCCGATGTCGATGTCGATGCCGATGCCGATGACTATGTCTATGTTCGTGCGCATGCTCATGCCGACGCTGACGTCGATGCAGATGCCAATGCCGAAGGTGAAGATGAAGAAGAAGAAAGAGAAAAAGACGGTGGATGCGATAGAAATGGCAACGGTAGGTCCAACTGTCAGGGTGGCGGCAATGGTGACGACGATGGAGAAGGCGAAGGAGACGGTGACGACGTTGGCGATGGCATCGAGAGCTTTGGCGTTGGTGTAATCGGTAGCATGATCGGAGGCAATGGAGGCGAAGAACTCAACTCCGTCGAGAGAGAGAGGAATGTAAAGCCCGAGGGAGACAGTCAGCTACTCGGTTTCTGTATGGATCGGTTGTCCAAGTGTTACGAAGCGGTGAGCGATTGGTCTCGACTGAAAGTATGGAAGCAGCAAGAAAGTCGTCTACTTGTTCGAGAAAAATGTAACAACGTTGCANGAAACAACCAGGAAAATGTACCGGTTGGGGGTTGCGAATCGATCCTTTTTACACTTTTGGGCTGGCTTCGAGGCAGCACAGCATTGCGTGAACAATAAGCTTCGCACTTCATTGGGAAAACCGCAAGAAACCTTCACCTCGATCGAAAGTGCTCTGAAAACATTGGCCCGCGAGGTATCGTACAACGTCGAGACGACGCGAAGAGAAAAACAAAGTTTGGACGATCTTCTTAGCGAACACAGTCGCGTCCGTCTTTTAATCGAATTCCTCGAGCACCTCGAAAGAGTGATTCATAACGCGGCAGAGGGATGCGCGATGGCTCTGCCACCATTCTCAAAGCCTGTTCGAACCTTTTTCCATACAAATAAATCCACTTGCAAGGAATGGTTGAATCGAATACGTCTCGCATTGTGCGTGGTTTCTCAACATTCCGGATTGGCTGGCAGCGCTCTGAGAAATAGTGGACGATTGCTGGAGGATCTGAGCAACAGCGACAACACGCATGGCATCGAGTTCGAGAGGGCGACTCTGTGCACGGCGCAAGCATTGGTTATGCTGGGAGAGGCGGAAGCGTTGCAAGGACTTTACGTATACACTAAAGAAAAGGAGAGAAAATTTCCGTGGTTAAAAGCCGCGATGGAAGAAGCTGCGGGTCACTACGAATCCGCTGCCGATGCTTATAAGCTGATCATCGAGGAACAAATGGCTGCCAGGGGGAAAGATACCGAATACGAGACGGAGCAAGAGGTCAACGATAGCGGGGGGGATTACAATAGCGAAGGCGACCGTAACGCCGATGCTAACGACAATGTCGCTGTCGATGTCGTTAACAATATCAATTGCGATACCAATGTCGAACTCGAAGCCGGTGTTAACATTAATATCGAGGTCGATGCCAATGCGGACGCCGATACCGAAACTCGTACCGATATCGACGCTGGCACCGACGTCCGCGTCGCCGTCGATGTCGGTACTAATACCAATACCGACGTCAACACTGATACCGATATCGATGCCGATGTTTGCGCCAATGTCGGTGCCAATACCTTTGCCAATGTTGATGTCTGTGCCGATTTTAATGCGGAAGTTATTACCGATGTCGATGACAATGAAAATATCAGCGATAATGCCGATGCCAACGCTCGTGCCGATGCCTATATCGATACCGATGCTAGTACCAATATCAATACCGACATCGACACCAGTTCCTATATTAAAGCTAAAGGAGAAGAAGGAAAAGAAAAAGTAAGCGAGGATGATACAGATGCCGCTGCTGTCACTGCTAACGACGACGCCGACGCCGACGTCGACGCCGATGCCGATGCCGATGCCGATGCCGATGCCGATGCCGATGATGACGACGACGACGACGATAACGATGCCGATGACGATGACGATGACGATGACGATGACGATGACGATGACGATGACGATGACGTTGACGATGACGATGCCGATGTCGATGTCGATGCCGATGCCGATGACTATGTCTATGTTCGTGCGCATGCTCATGCCGACGCTGACGTCGATGCAGATGCCAATGCCGAAGGTGAAGATGAAGAAGAAGAAAGAGAAAAAGACGGTGGATGCGATAGAAATGGCAACGGTAGGTCCAACTGTCAGGGTGGCGGCAATGGTGACGACGATGGAGAAGGCGAAGGAGACGGTGACGACGTTGGCGATGGCATCGAGAGCTTTGGCGTTGGTGTAATCGGTAGCATGATCGGAGGCAATGGAGGCGAAGAACTCAACTCCGTCGAGAGAGAGAGGAATGTAAAGCCCGAGGGAGACAGTCAGCTACTCGGTTTCTGTATGGATCGGTTGTCCAAGTGTTACGAAGCGGTGAGCGATTGGTCTCGACTGAAAGTATGGAAGCAGCAAGAAAGTCGTCTACTTGTTCGAGAAAAATGTAACAACGTTGCAAAGCAACCGCAGACGCACGCGGAGAGTAGCGATTTTAAACGAGCAAAGTGTTTGAAGATGTTCGAAGAAGGTGACACGATATCTCTCGACGATTTAACAAATTGGAACTTGCTCGAGAACGAAACGGAAAAACCGGGTAATTGGAGTTGCGCGAAAACATTGCTCGAATGTAACGACACACTGATAAACATAGCACTCCGAATTCATACAAATGACCACCACGATCACTTCGAAGAGAAGGTGGAACGTTGTCGAAGGGTGGCAGCCAAAACTATGGAGGAGGGTTTGCGAAACATACTCTCTGATTACTTGAACGAATCAACATTGATTCGATACTCTGCGAACGCGTTGAAAGAGTTGTTGCTGTACGGTCGAAAGAAAGATGCGGCAGCGTTCCAATTGTATAAAACAGAGAAACTGGAACGCATGGATTCGCGTATGCTCACGCGAATTCTCTGGTGGTCGAACTACTTTGAGAAAATGAGAGAAAGGGAGGAAGGGAACGGACAGTGTTGCAACAGTGTTCCGAACAGTAACATGCTAAGCGAGGTAGCCGATCTGCGGCTGCACATCGTTCGAACCGCCAGGAAGGAAAGAAACTTTGAATTGGCGAAACGAGAACTCGTGAATTACTTACGTTCCGAACGGGACATTTACGGTATCGAGGAAAATAAGAAGGGATTCCTGGATCACGTGGATCTCGACTTCGACCGAGTAACTACCGATGCCCTGAGAAACGTGACGCGCGTGAAATGGTCCAAGAACAATATGCGCGCATTCCGCGAGCACTCGAAGTTGCTCTACGACATGGAATGCGTCGACAAAGCTTTGAAAGTTTGTAGCGCTACCGCGTTGGGGATATCGCGAGAGATCGTGGACGGAGAACGATCGGCCGATTTAAGAGAAAACGGGACCAGGCTTCTTCTCACCCTCGGCAAATGGATTCAACAGCAAGAAATTAGAATGACCGAGAACGTTCAATTGGAACAGCTGCTCGAATTCGAAGCTCTGCGCAACGACGGTTCGATGACGAAACTGTTCGGTTCGACCACAGACTCGATACCAATATCGGATATGATAATTGGCAGATTGATGCAACTCGCGGTGAACCAGTGTCCGGATTTGCCGGTCGCATGGTGCAGTTTCGCCAGTTGGTGCTACAAATGGGGCAGAAAGATGGCCGACAACTCGAATACGGCCCGATTGACCGATACCGATAGGTCGTCCATAAAAGATTTGCTGTCGTTCGAAACGGACGAGGCCGATCTATCAGCCATCTTCTCGATACTGAGCCAGAGTAAAACCGTTCCCGAGGACGAGGGCGACATAACCGACACGACTAACGACATCAACACCTCCGATATGATAGAGAATCAGCTACGGAATGTATCGATACTGAGACTGGCCAGTCCGGAACTGCTCGGAATGCTCGTCGACGTGTGGAAGCAAGCCCAGAAACGAATCTACTCGTATTACGAACTCTCCGCGAACGCCTACTTCAAGTATTTGCAGCTCGCTGCGAACAAGGAGACCAACGATTGCGACACGATCACGGCGACGCTCAGATTATTGCGACTGGTCGTGAAACATGCTCTCGAGTTGCAAAGCGTGCTCGAGTCTGGACTCTCGTCGACTCCTACGACTCCATGGAAACAAATAATACCTCAGTTGTTCTCGAGGTTGAGTCACCCCGAGGCTTACGTGCGAACCCGGGTCTCGGAGCTGTTGTGCAGGGTCGCCGAGAATTCGCCTCATTTAATCACGTTTCCCGCGGTCGTAGGCGCGGTTTCCGGCCAGAGGAAAAATTGCGACAGAGTTTTTTACACGAAAACTGAGAACAATTCGACAGAGAACGATTTGAATTTTATCGAGGAGGAAAGAGGGCTGTTGGAGCACGACGAGGGCGAAGAGGAAGAGCAACGAGCGCACGAGCGACCCGTTCGGTTAGAGCAAGACCAAGAGGAGCCGAAGGAAATTGGAAAGGAAAGGGTCATCGTCGAAGAGGAGTCCGGAGACGCGTACACGGATGCGGACGCGGACGCGGACGCGGACGAAGATGCGGATGCGGATGCGGATGCGGATGCGGATGCGGACGCGGACGCGTACGAAAACGAAAACGAGGAGAGCGAGGAGATCGCGGAAAGCACGAATTACCAGGATCAAGACGAACACGACAAATTCATGGATTGCTGTTTCTCGCAGTTGGTCGATTGTCTCTCGAACAGAATACAAGACTCCGTGGAACAGATCAAAATTCTGGTGAGAGAGTTACGTCGAATCACGTTGCTATGGGACGAGTTGTGGCTGGCGACCCTGTGCCAACATCATACCGAGATTTCGAAACGATTCGAACAGTTGGAGCTCGAGGTGCAAAAAGTGCAAGACAACGTCTGGTTGAATGCCGAGGAGAAAGACAGGTTGATCGCCGAGAAGCATAGAATCATACTGAAGCCGGTGGTCTTCATTCTGGAAAATTTATTCGCCATGACCTCCGTCCCGGCCGAAACACCGCACGAGGAAATCTTTCAGGAAAAATTTGGTCCCTCGATCGAAGAAGCTATCGGCAAACTGACCGATCCGAAGAATCCCGCGAAACCTCAGATCGCCAGTCTCTGTTTGAAACAATTGGAAAGCAAATTAGCCCAACGCGTGCATCGGCGTGCCGCTTACTCTCTCGCGATGAACGATATTAGTCCGGTCTTGGCAAATCTAAGGAACACGCGCATCGCTATGCCAGGTGTCGCCGCGAACGACAATAAAATCGTTACGATCGAGTCCGTCGACAACAACGTGCAGATATTGCCGACCAAGACCAAGCCCAAGAAGCTCGTTTTCAACGGTTCCGACGGGCACGTTTATACTTATCTGTTCAAAGGATTGGAAGATCTTCACTTGGACGAGAGAATCATGCAGTTTCTAAGCATATGCAACACGATGATGTCCAAGAAAGCCGATTCGAAGCAGGTTTACAGAGCGCGCCACTATTCCGTTATACCATTGGGCCCACGTTCCGGTCTGATACAGTGGGTGGACGGCGTCACTCCGCTATTCATTCTCTACAAGAGGTGGCAACAGAGAGAAAACTCGATGACCAACAAGACGGGCAGTACCGCAATTTTACGACCGTCCGAGCTCTTTTATAACAAGCTGACGCCGTTGCTGAAAGAGCGAGGACTTGGTTTGGACAATCGAAAGGAATGGCCGGTTCAAATTCTGAAACAGGTCTTGGCCGAATTGATGGCCGAAACGCCAAAGGATTTGTTGGCAAAGTTAGTTTATTTCCTCTTCTTTTTCTTCTCCTTCGTACTCTACTATTACTACTACTGCTACTACCGCCACTACTATCATCATCATTATTATTATTGTTACTATTACACTGCTACTGCTTCTTTTTCTTTCTCTTATACTTTATTTGTCTTCATTTTTCTTCTCTTCCTACCTTTGTTCTTATAGAGAGATTTGGTGCAATAGTATCGACGCCGGGAATTGGTGGCAGGCAACCAAGAATTACTCGTATTCGGTCGCCGTGATGTCGATTATCGGTTACATAATTGGCCTAGGCGATAGACACTTGGACAACGTGCTCGTCGACTTGAATACAGGCGAAGTGGTTCACATCGATTATAACGTATGCTTTGAAAAGGGCAAAACGTTACGAGTGCCCGAAAAGGTGCCTTTCAGAATGACTCCAAATATTAAAACAGCGTTGGGCGTTACCGGTGTCGAGGTACGATCGACGACGAAGCGTCTCACTTTTATTAGTACTTGCTGTTTCAAGCGCTACAGCATCGCGTCGCACAGTGTGTCTCGCGTATACTGTATATTTCTTCTTTTCTCTTTGCTTTTCTTTTCAGGGTATATTTCGCTTAGCTTGCGAGCATACTCTCCGCGTGATGCGCCGAGGTCGCGAAACTCTGCTTACTTTACTCGAGGCATTCGTCTACGATCCACTGGTTGACTGGCGAGCTGGCGCGGACAACAGTATCGCGAGTTACGGGGCATGTCAAGCCAGAGCGAGATGTACCGGTTTAGGAAGAAAGCAGTTGGAGCAGGAGTTGACACGAGCAATGTTCGCCGTGCGAACTGCAGAAATGCGGGCCGAATGGTTGGCAAACAGGTTCGTTGCTTTCTTCTCGAGTAGATCCAGCGTGTTTCCTAACATCGTTGCTCGTCGAATCTAGATCTCGGATTACTTCGTTGTTCCGTTTGCAGGGACGAACTCGTCAAAGTGTTTCCATCTTTGTGCTACCGTTTGAGTTGTTGGATCGACGCGGGCGAAATCAGCAGCCATTGTCAAGAATTGCTTCAAGACAGACACCAGCAGCTTGCACTGGTTAAAGAAGCGCAGGCAATGGGACGCAATCATCCGTTGTATTCGGTCGTAAAGCGTTACAACTCTTTCAAGAGGGCACGCGATGCTCACGAGAAGGCAAAAGCCGCGTTAAAGGAGAGAATCGACGACTGCGAGAAGCAGATCAATATGCACAATGTGAGAACTTGGTTGTTTTTTCCTATTACCTTTCTATCTTTTCGTTTTTTGCGCAGCCACCTCCGATCGGTAACAATGAATGATATGTGAAAAACAGCGAGTACCGCGCTCGGTCGGTTAAAATAATCGATGTTTCAGCTGGCGCTTTCTGCTATAAGGGGCGCTCAATTGGGGCAATGGTTGTCGGAATTGGGAACGTCTACAACTTCGGAGGAGCACGTCGTGTTCGATTTGGTGAAAGAATTTCTACAGAATGCTGGCCAAAGTCAAATGATCGTACAGTGCGAACAATCGGAGAACGAATTGACTCAATTGGCCACGCAACAATCGATCTTGATAAGGAGTTGCCTGGATCTTCTGAGTCAGTACTCGGCAATTTGTAACTTGTACCCGCTGAGCAGCATGTCGCAACATCGTACGGTTCTGTATCACAGCTGGGCCAACAAGCTGTTAAATTTGGGAAACGTCGATGCTTGCCGCGAAGTAATGGCGCAGTTTGAAAATACCTTCGACCCGTTGAAGAGTACAAACGGTCAAGACATGCAACAAATACTAACGTTCTCCTATCAAATGCAAGGAATATTGAACGAGGCGAACGAGAAATTGAAAAAAGCGTACGAAAGAATGGTCTCGGAAGGGTTACCGGAATCGGTTGGCCGGATCGAGAAAGCGTACACGGAATCGAGGGTGCAGATACACGGGTTCCTAAGGCGGGAGAAGGGGGCGGAACGAGCGCTCGAATGCGTCAACATTACCGCTCTGTGCGCCCTGAACAAAAGATACCTGATGATGGAGGGCGCCGCGAAATGCGCCGGCGATTGTCTGGTCGATCTCACGTCCAGGGAAGGGGATTGGTTTTTGGACGAGATGCGTTTGATGTCGTCGTTGATCTCCGAATTGGTTACCTTGATACCGGAATCTCACAAAGCGAACAACGATCCCAGGATATCGCTGGTGTTGAAATGCCTAAGAGGATCTGATTACATTTACAAAGGGCTGCAAGAGCTCAATTACAATTTTCACACCATCATTCTTCCGGAAGCGATGAAAACTATCATAATCGAGGAACCAACCGTGACCAGGATGATCGGCGAGCTAACAGAGATCATCGTGTCACCGGGGATACCGCTCAGCGAGATTTTGGGACAGCTCGAGATGCACCTGCGATTCACGGTTATGGAGATGGACAGTCCTCACGCGATGGTGCAAAGCGTCGTAAACAACATGAGGCTGCGTTTCGAAGCGCTGCTGTCGCGAACGACCGAGATCCAGGAACCGAATCAAGACGAGACACTGACGCCCGGTCAGATGCTGCTGATGGGTTTCAACGGATTGTTCGAGAAACTGCAGATGGAGGGAAACGCGTTGATCGGTACCCTGAGCACGCTCGACATTCCCGCCGCTTGGAGGAAAATCGATCAAATTCGGGAAGCGAAGGAAATGTCCGCGCCGATATTCAATAAAGCCGCCTGCCAGGTTCTCGAAGATATATTTCTAGTGAAACGATTGCACACCATTCAAGAGTTCTTCATGATGTGCAGGGACATCGCGACCGCGTTCAAGGGCGGCC